AAGTCTGAAATATCTTAGTATTTTGGATTGATCCATAGTATGCTTTTAATGAACTATGTCACCCTCTTTTTGTTTTTGTTTAGGATGATCTTCTTTGGTTTTGTCTAACTCGCTTGTCTAACTCTATTTAAATATAGAGTAAAAATTTTGATATAGTCACTATAGAAAAAGTATTAACTATTTATTGAAATTTTATAACATATATATAAATTGATACATACCTATTGATTCAATCATTAAAATTTTTGTTTTAATATAGAGAATATATTTTGTTTATTTTAATATATAACTGTTGGTTTAAATAAATATAAATTTGAAATCTGATTTAAGATATGGAGAATATATTTTTATTTATTTTAATATTATTAGAGACTGAGGTGTAAGTTGAGAGTGTGTGAAAGACTGAAAGTGAAACTTAGAGAGGGAGAGCATGTAAAATGTTAGGAACTTAGGTTAGAGTTAAAAAAAATAAATGAAGAAAAAAATTATTGTTAGCGGGTTTAAACAGGCCGGCCCGTTTATTTTTTAACCTTACAGAACTAGTCCTTTTAAGTCCAAGTTCTTTTTAAAGATCTCAAATTACAAGCCTAGCTCTCAATTTAAATGAGATTAAATGGACTTGCCCGACTTTTTCTGGCTCTACTCTTCCTCTCCTCTATCCTCGTTTTCTTTTACAACCATTAGATTAAAATTCCAATAGTATAAAGATAAATATCATTGTGAAAATAGATAAATAATTTTAAACTATTAAAATCTAATATGATCAATTCATTGCTATAAATAGAATATTTTTTCCCAATTTTTTTGTGATAGTTGTAAACTGTTCAGGTAATATTTTAACAGTTTAAAATTTATGTATTTTTTAATAATATTATTTTTCTAAGATGTTATATCTGAACCAATAAAATTTTGATCTAATAGTTGTAAAGAGAAAATGAGGATAGTAGAGAGAATCCAAGTCCTCAGTGTCCCAGTCTTGTCAGTGTATTAAAAAAGGTTGTAAAAAAAAAAAAGAAAACATGTATTCATAATGAAATACTCTTTTTCTAATACAAGTTTCATACTTTTTTTAATTTCATGAGTACGATTGATGGAGTGATTTTTTTTTTTTAAGAAAGGAATGTGATCCTGCTACTACTTGTTTTCAAAACAATTAAAAATTTTTATCCAGAACTACGGATTACATGTCTTTTGATCTTGATTTTTCTTTTTAATTTCTGTAGATTTAATAACACTAGACGCCGTACCCGTTGACTCATCGGTGGAGAACAATAACTAGATGGGACATTTTCATGCTAGTATCAGGCATGCTCCCCCTTATTTGCTTTCTTCTCATTCTCGTCACATTCTAACGTTTCCAATATTACCATACTTTTGTACGGGCCCCTTTTTTTTTTTAGCACAATAACAGTGAAGATGGGGTGTTTGGATGGAATTAAAACCATAATTTTAAAAGTGTTTTTATAGTATAACAAATAAATATATGGAGGAGTTTACCTTGTTTTGTGAAAAAAAGTATTTTTTAAAAATACTTTATATGTTCTCAAACACCCCTGTGACAGAGAGATGAGAGAGATCAAGAAGGAAGAAGACTTTGAAAGAGGGTTTAAAAAAAAAAAGCCAAGAGTAGAAACGTCAAACCTGCTATGACACCATCAACATAATCTCCATGACGGGAAAAAAATGGGAAGAGAAATCAAAAGGTGAAAACTTTGAAAGAGATGATTACGTGCATTCAGACGCGGAAGATCAAAAGATCAAAATGAGCAAATATAACATATGTAACAGCAAGCAGAGGTCTACCTTATTCATGAACATATTGCAACGAAAAAAAAAATCAGAAAAAGGGAAGTTACGTTGATACCTCACCAAAAGCCCTGGATATATAATTTTTTCCTAGCTAGCGATGAATCTAGAGGTCTCAAATGTCTTGTTCCTGTTACAAGAAAATAAACATATTTCCTATTGTTGCGTCTTGATCTGCACCTCAAACTACTTTCTAATAGGGCTTGAACCTACAAATTCAAACTGATGAAGATAATATTGAAGAAGAGAAGAGCGAAAGATATCACCTGCCATATTGCTAGCACGGCTGTTTTAGCAAACATCTGCAGCAGGCCAGCATATTTATATCATAAGGAATGACTAATAAGATGAGATCCAATCATACTGAAACTGAACAATCTTATCCCAATAATTATATTAAATGGTCAAGTAAATCCAATAAACACGCATCTCAATTACTAAAACCGAACAGTCTCATTAGAACGATTAAATGGCCAAATAATAAAATGCAGTGAACACACACAACTTGATCATGCATTACTGATTAAGCACAACTACCTAATTAAGCGTCATATAGCCTTCCATTCAAGGACCCATTATAAGAAATGACTTAAGCATATTAGGGGTGATTTCTTTAGCATCTTATTGGCTATTTCTTGTTGATGTAAGCGTCTTTTTTCAATCTTGATGCATGCATCTGTATTGATAATTTTATCTTACAATTATGGTTACTCTTCCTGAAACCTGAGCCAAATAAATAAGTGGTTACTCTATAATATTAACATTTTAGTGCTTTAATATTTTGTTTTTAATATTTTAATAATTATTGAAAATGCAAATACATGCACCAACAATTAAATGAGATGGGCCAATAGATAAGGACTATGTGACCAATCATAGAACAGCCACAGGGCTTATAAGTTATAGAGATAGATAGATACTTTTGCAGTACTTGAGAATAGCCCTGAACACGGAGGTTTTTTCCCTAATTTATGGAATGTAATGTGAAAATATATTGTCAACTTAAGTCATTATTTAGTTTTATTATAATACTATTACGTAGTTTCCCATTTGACCAATATTTAGCGGGGCCCAACCAATCCATGAACAGCAATTCTATTAGTGCACGCTTTCCGGCAAAATTACGCTACAAGATACCCTTTATGATAGTGAACGTATTTGGAGCGCCAGATTCATCTTATTCTTAACCCATTAAATTTAGAACAATGCATAACATCAGCACCTAGTTTCTTTTGGCCATGAATATGCATCGCCACCTGGTCAGACTTCATGAAACCTCTTACATTATTGTTTTTAATATAAGAGCTAAATAAAAATTTCATTTTCATCCTCAAATATAATATCTCAAATTATTTTGTCTCCTAAATTTATAATTTTCTTCCTAAAATATACTTATTGATTGCCCATGTTAAGGGATTTTAATTATTAAGAAGTAATTCCATTGCATATGATTAATAAGAATATTTTTAAAAAACCAATATCTATTTATGATGAATTATTAACTTAATTAATTTTCTTAATACTCTTAAACAGTTATCATCTCTGAGGACCCATTCAAACTCAGCTAAACCAAAGCACCGCCAAAAAGTGTTGACAAAGTAAGAGAAAAAAGATATAAAAGAAAGACGAGAAAGAGAAAGGAACAAAAGAATTCCAGGTGTGTCACTTGCGTCACTATCGTGGGCGGAAAAGGTTTTGCTTTGGATATGATAGCTTTCCTCAGTCCAGTGATTCGAAAGCATTTGTTTTTCCAATTCATGGCAGAGATGTTAAAGTGTTAGTTCAAATGAAAGGTACTTGGGTACCTTAAACATTATGTCCAAGGTTTGATTCCTGAGGTAGTATGTATAGAAAAAATACTATTGGGAGAGGTTCCCATTACGGCGCCTGATAGTATTATGAAACATTAGTCTCTTACCTTTTGGATGGAAGGATACTTTGAGCAACAAAAAAAATGGTAGAGATGTTAACTCAACTAATCCTCCCTTTCTTTTCCTGTTTTATTACTCCCCAACCCCAACCAACCTCCTTCTTTCTTGGGACAAAATCTCAACATCCTCGTCATGCCCGCGTAACCCGTCATCTTCTTCACCAACAACCTCGGAGAAACAACTAGTAATATCAACAATTATCCCTTTCTTTCTGTTATGCGTTTGTTTCTCCGGCTCTTAATTTGGGGCCATTCCACTCCGAAACTAGCACAATGTATGCAGATGAACGAGAAGCTAGCTAGCTATCATCCGGATCGTATGGAAGAAAACTGCAGAAACCAAGAACAAATACCAATATATCATAAATCGCAGGTCGTCACAGAAGTAGAACTCAAACGCAGTACTTTGATAATGAAGCAATTAATTAATGCGATGGGGGCCTCTGGTCAGAGTCGTTTAATTTTCAAGGGTAGAAATGATCATCAACACTTGTTTCTCTCATCTTTATATGCATACATGTATCCTCGGTTTCTGTTATGTATAATTCCGTAAGAATAGAAATGCTGTCAGTCCAGCTGGATATCCCTCAAGCTGCCCACATCCTTAGAGAAAATCTTCCCTGCTTTGAGCAGCCGGCTCCAACAACGTCAGATTCGGGAAGGATCTTCTGATCACGAAGACTGAAAACCCGGCCCCTTGAAAGCCGCCCCGTTCAATATGATACACTAATAAGTATAGTCCATTAGCAATTGTTTCATTTTAATATTGTGTTATGGAATTCCAAACCCTCATCCAGATGCGAAATAACTTAAGCGCATAAAACATGTATTTTATATATCTTCCTCCCTTTATTCTTATAAAAATGTGTGTTACTGAATTAGATCCCTCTGATGCACAAGCAGGAACGTCTCTCCAAAGGGGATCATCTAATTTCAGGGACAAAAATCAAAGAAGATATGCTTTTTATAGTTTTATAATCATAACTCTTTAATTATTATAAGTGGCCCACTAATTATATATTATATACTTTAATTTATGCAAATTATGTACATGTATTTGAACTGGGCATAAAATTAATCAATACTTATATTGAAAAGAAATACTTGAAGAGAATTTTAGATGTACTATCCACGTTGTGCAGACAAATATGGGCTTGGTTTATTATTCTTGAGGTTAGATATTCTTGTTCCATTAAACACGGGTGAAAACAAGAACATATATAGTAAGAGACAAGTCAGAAAGTCTTGCCTTTATATACCCCGAATGAACACAAAGAATGAAGCCTCACTCTTCACAATTCACAAGTCTCTCACAAAAATCCTAGTCCCATCCGACTCTGCGATCCATCCATCGGCTTTAGCAGCAACATTACTTCCCTTAATTTTACAATCCACCGCACGTGCAATTGAATCTGTCAGAGACAAACTAATAAGTACGTACTTAGCTTGTTAATCAGCCCTTCCTTCATCCTCTACTTGTGCTCCGCCATGAACGACTCATCACCGGATGTTTACGAGTATCTGATGAATAAGAGGAAACACAGCACCGGCTCCGAGGAGTCGAGAACGGGAAGGAGAAGGTTGAAGAAGGAAGGAAGTCAAGGAGCAGCAAGAAAGGATCATCAGTGTCGACAGCTCTGAAGCTGTACGAGGACCCATGGAAGATAAAGAAGACGCTGACGGAGAGCGATCTGGGAATCCTGAGCAGGCTGCTGCTGGCGGCGGACATGGTGAAGAGGCACATTCTGCCTATGCTGGGAGGTGAAGGCGCAAGAGCCGCAGAGAGCGAAGAAGGAACGCAGGTTAGGGTTTGGGACACGGACACCAAATCCATGCACCAGCTGCTGCTGAAGCGGTGGTCGTCTTCAAAGAGCTATGTTCTGATCGGCAAGTGGAGTCAGGATTTCGTGAGGCGGAGGGAATTGAAGAAAGGCGATGAGATTGGCTTCTACTGGGACCCATATACCTCCCTCTTCAACTTCTGTGTTCTTAAGCGCGCTAATGGCTCTTAGTTAAATCTACCAGAATGACATATATATCCGTAGACATATATTATAGATAGTATTTCTGTTTGTAGCGATTGATCTTTCAGAAATTCCTACTTCGCCGCATTACTATCTCTATGTATGTGATCCTATTTTTCCAGTATATTCACACATCCACTGATGATGCTTTTGTTGGTAGATTTGATGGGAGCGTCCTTCTTCCACACTTCATTCGTGTAAAGGTAACAATTACACAACCGCCGATCGAGATTGTTATGCGTTCATATATATTGATGTACGTACGTGTATAGAAAATTATACTAACTCCGCATATTACTTTGATTAAGAGAGCTTCAGATGCTTGCAACTCCCTGATGGGATTCAATTAAAGCTCCTTACTAGGCAAAATATGTTAGTTTTATACTCTCAAATTTCACATGCATTGTTTTTGGCGTCTTAATTGCTGCGAGAGAACAATCTGAAAACTAACTTGACGGGATGAGTTAGCATTTCAGTACGTTGATTAATCAGTTTGTCACAACTAGAGCCGGGAAAGGTGCGCAATTACAGGGGCGGGAAGAAAACTAAGCATCTTATATACCAAAAACAAAAAAGGAAAAGAAGGTAAAGAAGAAAGAAAACGAGACGCCGATCTCCCGTTGTGATAATCGGCATCCTAGGAAATGAGTAGTGATTAATTAAAGACTGAAATTCGATCTTTATATTATGTGTGTAACTTTAACATTGAGTGTGGCTGGTGTCTTTGAACCCCTAGCTCGGTTTGAAGGTGTTCTGCTGCTTATGAAAACTTTCTCAGGCTTCTCTTAAGTACATAGGAACCCAAACGGTCTTCTATTGCATGTGATCTCGTACATAGCTTGCATGATTAATATCACCAATGACATCTGGAGTTCATTATACTCCTATATCAAATATAGCTAAATTTCCCATTTTAAAAATATTATCATTAAATTTTAAATCTATATGAAAAAAATAAGACAGATGACTCTGTGTAGCTGGAAAATTTGACATAATATTTGGCGTAAATATCTTCCTATTATGAATATCATTAGTGTATTAATATAAAATACTACCTCTCCGTTCCTTAATATAAGACCTTGTTTAACTTTTATTTTGATCCTAAATATAAGGCCCCCATCCACTTGGTCTCTCATATTTATGTATTTTTTTCAAGATAGTCCTTCTAACAATGATAGTTTTATTCAATACACTTGATTAGTAAGGATATTTTAGGAAAGACAACACCTATTTATTAAAAATAACTAACTTAACTTATATCCTTAATATCTTCAAATTAGTCAACTAACTCTTATAATTAGGACAAGAGGTAGTATAATATATAGGTACATGATCAAACTGTAAATATCTATATGCTGCACAAGTCTCACCTGTAGTTAAGTTGGATATAACACCGTGCAGCAAAAGGTGTTTGGCAAAACCAAAACCTAGGTTTCAGAATCACTTTTCCGCAAAACGAGGTAACCTCCTCCACATATTTACTTCGTAATCCGTAAACGCACTTCTGAAACCATGGTTTGGTTTCTATCCAAACACCCCCGTAAAGGTTGAAATGACATTAATGACGTTGAGGGTACGGAACCCGGCAAAGCAAGATATAAGATAATGAAGAACAAATGGGTCGGAGTTCATTACATGACGCTGTTTAATGGACAAATAATAACGTTCGATTCCTCCGTGCTGGTTGATTGTTTTTACACATAATTAATTGACGACCTGGAACGCGCACCCTTTTGATCACCTGACGCATTCCTAGCTGAGAATGTAGTTCATGGTCAGAAATAATAATGGAAGATGAACTGCCTTGGCTTCGGATCGATATATGAGTGGCCTCGGAGAAAACACAGGTCACCAACAATGGGAGAGAATCGGCAATAGAGAGACCTTTTTGAAATACCCAATGGCATGGAAGAAACAGATGCTTAAAGTGAAGAGAGGACAAATGTCAAGGACAACCAAGCCAGAGCCAGAGAATCCAAAGTCATGATGTGAGGAGCTTTCCGTGAGGCCTATAGCTATGCAGAAATGGATCTCGACCCAAACAAAAAGAGAATCTGGGAGGGATTGAGAGCTTTTTCTGAGTGGAGAATGGCTACCTGAGGCAAAGCCAATGAGATGCAACAAACAGATGCTTTGGATTATATTAATAGTCATAGCCACACCCAAGGAATCCAACTCACTCTACAACAGGCCAGTGCTTCCCCACACAATACATCTCTAAACAAGGGAGCCAGAAGAGAATGCCACCCACCAACCTCCACCTTATTTATAATTGACACTTTATAAAATACTATTTATTGGCCAATTTAATATTTTAGCTTTTTTAAAAGCTCTCTTTCTCTATGTAGTATCTCCATCCTCATAGAGATAAGACAACTACTACCTGCAGTCCTAATTATAAGAACTAATTGACTAATTTGAGGAGATTAAGGAAAGAAGTTAAATTAGTTATTTGTAATAAATAAGTATTGTCTTTCCTAAAATATCCTTGCTAATCAAGTGTATTAGTTAGAACTACTATTGTTAGAAAGACTACCTTGGGAAAACATATATAAATATGAGAGACAAAATGGATTAGAGTCTTATATTTAGGACTAAAATAAAAATCAAACAAGGTCTTATATAAAGGACCGGAAGTAGTATTATTATACACTTCATTTTTTGTAATGAAAATTCCCACTCACTGCTCCCGTAGGTTTTTTTTTTCCTTTTTTCACGTTAAACTGTACGCCATCTTCTACTGTATATTTCTCTTATTTTCCTTCTTTATAATTATTAATTATCTAAATTTGTTTTCTTGCACACTGCAGTCCTAACACTTACTACTATTGGGGTGAAGGCTATTCCTTCCGACCTTCCCACAAGGCCAATTGCCTTTGGTTTTCTTCCCAAAATAAACAAATCATGATATAAACAACGGTTGGCCTTGTGGTTTCTTGTCCTTACTTTTTGAGTCGTTTAAGGGAGTGATAGATGTGGACCCCTTCTTGTATACAGCAATGTTGAGATTGATAGGCCCGGTCCATTCCAATCTCATTCATTGACACTCACAGTTTTCTTGGAGTTTGCAATAACCCACAACGATGTAGGCCCATCACGTCCCTTCTCTTTCAATTCACTCCTTCCTACCTTAGAAGAGTTGACACCGCCCATTTGCCTCATTGATATTTATTTGAAATTGAAATGACACACTAATGAAGCAGTGGGGAATTCGACTACTTGCAATGATCAGTTGGTGAATGAATAAGGATGGGAATAACTGATGAGACACATATGGATGGAGGTATGCGTGCGTGTGCGTGGAAGATGAAGAATATGTGGTTAATTTTGGTCCTCGTGAAGCAACTGGACGAAGATGCAAAGTCGTGTCTTTTCTACCCCTATTCTTTTGTGGGTGATTTTCATTATTCTAACGGAACATTCCCCCTCGGAAAGTTCAAAACGAAAAAACATTTCTGCTTTACTTAAAAGTTAAAAAAAGAGGCTATGTGTGTATTCACACGATTCTTTTGTATTGCTTTTCTTCCCTCCTCCATTTTGTTCCATCTACAACTGGGAATACGTGCCAGTCAGTCACAACCCGCGGGTTATGCGGTGCGGGTTGCAGTAGCCCGTATTTTGGTGGGTTGGAAAAATCCCAACCCTAACTCGCCACAGCCCGCTATCTTTTTTTTTTTTTTTAATTCTCAATTTTCAAATCTTATTTTTATTTAATTTTTTAAAATAATAATTGGTGATCTAAAAGTTTAAAAGCAATCACAAGTATAAATGATGTTTAACCACATTTAAAATAGTCAATACAAATATAAAATAATACATTATAAATATTTAATATGATTAACATTCAACATCAACTCATCAAATGATAAATTTTATAATTTTTTGTTGTTGTACAAATGCCATGTTTGATACAAAACACTATCTCTTAATAAATTAGAAGTGCATTTATCTAATTTTTTTTAAAGTTTATTTATCATGTTTTTCTAAAACATTTTTTTTCCGTAATAAATATTGTCTTATATTTGATTGTAGTTATTAAAGTTTTGCTATAAATATACTCCTCCGATCCTTAATATAGGACCCAATTCTTGTGTTAGTTTTGGTCCTAAATATAAGACCTCTTTTTCATATTTATCAATTTTCTCTAAATTACCCCTATGGATACTCCCTCAACCATAATCAAGTAGAAGAAGGAGAGGGGTATTAAAAAAGATGATTATGGTGTTTTAGGAAAAATATGTCACTTTTCTTATAATTAACTAACTTACCTAACTTCCTTAATCTAATCAAATTAGTTAAATGGGTCTTATATTAAGGACCGGAGGAGTAGTATGCTTATTTTTAAAAAATATTTTTTGTTTACATATGTATTATGTAACATGAAAATTAAAATGTAAATAAAAGAAAAAAAATTTCAAATATAATAACATATTATTTATATAAAAAGTTAAAATAAAAAAAAAAGTGGCGGGTTAGGCGAGCCAACCCGTCAACCCATGAGCTAGCCCACCACAGCCCGCGGGTTATGCGGTGCAGGCTAGAACAGCCTGCACCTTGGCGGGCTGACCCGTGAGTCTCAACCCATATTTTCAGCTCTAGTTCCATCCTCCTCACTTCGACGTCAACTTGTGGTATTTAAACCCCATGTTGAATCACGGAGTAGGCAGTTTAATTCCTGTTTTCCATAAGCAGCCCCACATCCTTCGTCTTTATTTGGATCAGCTTTGGGTAAACCAGAGGTTATAAAATTGATTCATTAACATAATTGATTAAATCAAAGGAGGGTGTTTGGATAAATTCTTTGGGAGGTATAACTAGAAAATATGCAATAGAAGCTTATAAGATAATCGCAGTTTTTGGCTTATAATTGATTTTGACATATATAAGGTTGTTTGGTAGTTTATGCAATTTTCATTTCTTTTAAAAGAAAATTATGTGTTGGTTCTGAATTTTGAGGGTTACTGGTTATCGCTTTCTACCACTGGCGCCTATCATGAGTTATTTTTAACCAATTTACATATATCCTCAGAAACAGTTGAAATAATAAATTTACCATAAGATTCAAGTGATTTCTAATAATATCCTCATCAACTATACTAAACTCCAACATCATATCAATTTTGATTCTTTCACTTTCTTTATTAAATATGAGCAGATATGACAAAAAATATCAAATGCTCCTCGAAACAAAGCAAATTCGTTATAAAAAAGACCAAAATACTTATTAATTAATGTCATATAATAATTAGAAGGAGTACTAGGTCAGATCCTTGTGGTTGGGGAGTTAGTCAGTTCTAAAGCCGCATCAATTATTAATGTAAATTCTGGCTCAAGAAAAATTTTTAGGCATATATTTGATTCAAATAATTAACAAATGAAAATCAAGCCAGGCATTAATGAATAAGGAGATACCACCAATGCATGCTCGCCAGATATCAGCAAAAGGGTAGAGTGAATGGTAAGGTTAGAAGAGAACAAAAATAATGAAGCAACATCAATAGATAAATTCAAATGCCATTTATGTGCTTTAATCAGACACAGGAAGGGATATTGGCCATCTGATAAAGAATGTGCTGATGAATTCAACGCTCAACTGCCTACACTACCACCGAAAAAAGGGGCTCATCAATTTAAATCGACCAAGGGAACAAAATCTTCGAAACAGCTTTCTGTTCCCTCCAACATTAACTCAATGAGAAAATTTGGCGATCAATTTTTCCACATGGATAACGACATCGTCTATTCGGGGCCGCACAGCAGCCTGGGGTTGAAGCATCCATGTCACAAACTGATGAAGAGCATCAGGATATGGAGACTTGGGTCCAGCCGGCCATTTGATTTGAGCATTTATAATAGCCAGTTGCAGGCTTCCTCCGGATTCTCCGAGTGCATATTCAAACGGAGATACCCCATACCTGAAATGTCAAGTCAGATGAGGATAAACAAGTTCACCAGAGATGGCTCAGATATTAAGCACAAAACAAAAATAGCAAAACTTAAAATCAGAAATTTCACTTATTCTTGGGAGAATGGTTGGTTGACCTTACACGATAAAAACAGAGCTGAGAAAAAGCCATGTATAAAACCGAGTTGCAATTAAAAACATGCTTGAGTTTTGTAATCTACTTTATTTTTAACACAAACAAGGATACTACAATTTTGAGCAAAGGATGTCTTGTTACACAAAGGTCCGCCACAAATTTTTTTTTATTAAATTTAAACGGTTGATAATTACGACAGAATGTGATCGGGGTCTCAAAACTACCAACAAAATTTTTCTCCTAATTCCCATCTTCTCCATGTTCTGCTCGAGAACCAAACAATGGAATTCAGATCTACTTTGTTTTCTTTCTTCTAAAGACACACTAGCCATGCTGTGGCCCCTAGATTTAAACTAGAACCATCAACAAAGGCACTGCTAATAAAAGTTCTCAACATTAAAATTAAGATAAACCACATACTAAAAAAAGGATAAATTCTCCTCACATTATTGCATACAGCGTGCATCCTAGTGACCAAACATCATTCCTCTCATCTATATCAGCATGGCTTGGGCAATCCCATAGCTCAGGAGCTCGGAAAGGAGCAGAGCAATGTTCAGCTGCCCATTCCTACAAAAGGAACATATAAATTCATGCAAAATAAATAAATAAAAATTCAGCAGTTCAGAAAATTATACAAGCTAGATGACTTGAAAAACACTCGGCTTCACTATATTTGAAAAACTTCACCAAAGCGGCAAATTTAATTAAGGAATTAGTACTGCCACAATAAAAGCCTTAGCTAAGCAATGGATTCTCTTTTCACATAAATTTTGAAAGAAGAACTGACATATTAAAGGTTGGGTCAGGCTATTTTGATGTTTTATAGGTTCTGAACTTAGAATAAGGAGTTGATTACTTCACATCAGTAAGGTGCAAAGATAAGGCGTCCCCTTCAATAAGGCTCCAAAAGACAATCTGAGAGGCACTGTACCTTCTTAGAATCTCGCCTCAGCGCAAGCACCATGGACTAAATTCATACCTGATTAGCTTCATAAACCTATTTTTGGTACACCAACCCTACCTTAAATTTCTCTGCAATGAGATGCTAGAAACTTCTATCCTGATGAAATATAACATTATTTTTCCTAAACTTCCCCAGAATACTTTGAACAGTCCAAATAAACTTCTTCATAAACGGCTTACTGTTCTCTTTTATTGGAAGAAAATAACGCAAACCACTTAGAAATTATAATATAGAATAATGTGACCTGTTTCTTATTTGGAGATGCTCATTGAATGGGAAGTTCAAAGATTAGGATTTGTATGACAAATATACAAAAAATTGAAACCTAAATGCTTGGTTCTTCTTTTTTTTTTTTCCAGTAAAAGGCGAAAGAATAGTTCGCTCTGTGCTCACTGTGTGGCTGCAAAAATGTTTGGTAATTTTCATGTGTCATCATGTTTCATATTTGGGTCTCGCTTATTTGTGAGGAACTAACAATGCACAGAATAATATTCATAAAAAATAAAGAAGGAAAGGGTGGAAGAGGCTATTGATATAGTCTTGAAAATTTGCACCTGCAACTGTAGTGCCTCTGATCGGGAGCGAATTTGCCGTCTGGCAGGTCGAGTACTACCAAAATCCATGAGTATGGCAAGAGGTGGTTGCCCTTTTCTGCGTGTTATTACCACATTACCAGGTTTGACATCATTATGTGCATGCGGAGGATCCATATTGTGCATGTGCTTGAGTCCTGCAGCAAGCTGTTGAGTTCATTTTGCATGGTTAAAGCCCTTTAGCACATTTAAGCAATTAGCAAGTTTAGAATAAATGACAAGCACTGAGATTTCACAAAATCCACCAGAACAATCACATTTAAAGAAAATGAATGTTATAAATTTCTAACAAAGTTTTATCTCGGCTACAATTTTCTGGTGAAAATCTCTTCATGTTTATTATGATTCACTCCATTCATCTCCAACTGGTCAGACTGTAAACAAATTGCAACCTGCTGAAAATTATGAGCTGCTTTATATAATTGAAGTTAAAAGGTTCCTGCAAGAAAATATAAGACAAATACATAATTAAAAGATGGTTCGTTTTACCTGTTGAAAAATGTGAAGCACATCTGACGTGGAAAAGAACTCTTTCTTGGTTTTCATAGTTTGGGCAATGTCAAGCAATGTTCCATCTAAATGAACGGGAAATAGCAAGTATGCTTCATGGTTCCAAGATGTTTCTTTGGTTGGCTGCCAACAAAAATCACTTCTTCCACATAAATATAAAACCACGAGCATAGAAACAAGTAAAATCAACCCAAAGCAGAATGAATTAAACAAGTAATTTTGTGCATTCTTAATTACCCACGACCCCACGTACTCTGTGTTTCCATAACATGCATGAGAGGATAGACATTAGTTAAACTGCAATAGCATAATGACTTTCCAGATTCCATTGATAGGGAATTGTAGCATACAATCCATATCATCAACATCATTGCATATAATTCTAACTAGAAATGTAGTGCCTGACAATTTTAAGCTTCTTTTTTTTTTTTTTATTGGGGATCCATACCTTCAGGATCAGGCTCTGGCCAAAGCATGAAATTCAACCAAATCAACAGCTCTGTTACTTGCGAGATTTTGAAGGCTAACCTTTGGCATATAAAGGAGAGAAGTAATTGTTGGCTGCGATTACTTATTACCTTAACAGAAATGATTGCGTGGTCAAGAAGTGGAAGCAAATTAGGATGGCTGAAGAGGGATGAAACACGGATCTCCTCCTTCACCAACTCCAGCTGTTCATTGTTTTGAATGAGGACCTTTTTCATAGCATAAGTTCCATCATCTACAGACAAATGCACAGCAAATAGTAAGATACAAAGTCTTCTTTTCTAGTGTTAACAGGGGGGGGGGGAGAAGAAAATTCTATGACTTAAAAACGTGAAAATAGGATATCATAGCAACAATGAGAAAAATCATGGTATAATTATCACCATTATATGATTGAAAGGAAATCTAAAATTGCCTGTGCCATCAATAGCGCACAACAAAAGAGCAGAAAGGGCCACACATCTTATCCATAAGCGCGCGCGCACACACACACATATATATCTATCATGCACAGACAATTTTGATTAGAAATGGGTATGACATTCATAGAATTATAGATCTAGGCCTGAATATCAGAAACGTTACACTAGATATTCATAAATCACTTGTAAGTACGACCTCAAGTACTTATTCCACCTCATAAATTTTGTTATAAAAAAAAAATAGATGGAAAGCCGTCTAAGTAACAACAAAAAGTCATAGCTCAAAAATGAGATACATAACATAGATGGCGCATTCATATGACCCAACAAAGAACATTCGAGAAAAAAATTCATAATCTAAAGCAAAGGCATAAGTTATATCTTAGAAGCCCACAAGTATGGTGATGCACTTCCAGAATTGAATCAAATCAACCCCAGACCAAAAGAATTCTACATTTCAAACAGCAATGCCGGTGAACAAGGAAGGAATCTTACCGGAGACATGGGAAGAGTCTTTGAGCTTCTTAGAGAGACCACCGCCAGCTAATGCGGGAGAGGAGTCCGTGACCACCTCCTTGACCAAATAGACGTAGGAAAAGCCACCTTCGCCGAGCTGCCTCACGATGCGGAATCGGTTCTCGTTGATCCACACATCGGTGTCCCCGTTTACGTTGTCATACAATGCATTCAGCCCAGAAAACGAGCACCCCATCTTCTTCTTCTTCCTCCTCCTCCTCCTCTAATTCTACTGTGGTTTCTTACTCTCGCTCTAGGAATCCCTGCCTTGAACGTGCCTGTGAAAACCAAATGAAATCAGGTGTTCTAAAGAGACCATTTCACGTCAATTGTGTGTGTAGGCGACCTTTTTTCTTTTTAAAAAACAAAAATCTTTAACAATTCGCTTCCTTCCTTTTGTTGTCGGGTTTCTTACGACTTTCATTCATTCTTGGATCGCTCAATTCTTGACCAAACACGTTTGATCTTCGCGCTCCGCCATTATGATTTACGAGCATCACATTGAAAGCCATATTTTCTTTTTTGGTGATGAGCCGCATTTATTACTCTGTCGGTCTTTTTTCATAAACAATCTTAGACTCCAGACCAAAAAATTAGTTAAAAGATAATGAATAAATATAAATTATTATTTTTTTCAAAATACTTATTTATGGGACGGAGGGAGTAAAAGAAAGAGAATGAAAAAAATTATTATAATAAAAAAAATTATGAAAGAAGGAGAATGTAGATGGAGAGATGGTTTGAAAAATAAAATAATAAATATATTAGATATTCAAATAAGTAATTAATGGAGGTAAAATAGAAAATTTACTATAAAAATTAAAAACAACTTGCAAATATTACTTATATTTAGGAATAAAAAAAGAAATGGTAGTTATTGCTTATAAAAAAGGATGGGTGGAGTACTAAATAACATACAAATTGTACTTACATGATTTTTTCTCTAAAACAATTTTTTTAAAAAAAATGAAAAAATTGTTTGATGGTCAATTTTCAATCAAGTGTATTTTAAAAAAAATAGAAATATGTTTTCAAAAATAAAAAATTTTTTTTTTTTTTTTAGTATTTCCTCCTTTCACTGCTCTATCTCTCACTCTCAATTTTTTGGTTGCTTGCCTTTGTCTAGGTTGTCTCATTATCCTCTAGCTCTGTTTGTCATTGTTACACCTTTCAGTTGTCTCTTACTTACCTTCTCTTAATTTTCCAAATTGATTTTAAAAATAATTATTTCAAACAAATTTTATGTTTTTTTTTATCCAAATGCGGTTGTTTAATAACTTAATTGTGTTTTTTAATAACCTTTTGCTTTAAAAGCCATGCACAAGTTTTTATAGCATTTTAAATACTTTCACTAAAAATAATTGCGTTTTAAAAGATGAAATTATTCTCATATATTTATTTGATACAACACAATTATTCAAAATAAAGTGATCCAAACAAGCATTTTCATATTATTATAAAATGCATGGCATCACATTGTGCTGTACTGCGTTACATGACCATCCATTCTCGAAACAAAGAGTTTTCATTTTCTTCATAGCGCCGAGGTCTATGGTTGTTGACATTTTAATGCAACCCTATCAACTTTGTCTTGCGGTCTCAATATAGCTGACACCCTCAGACCCTCTAATATAAAGTTCACCTAAGTTATCATACCCAATTTGGCCAAAATAAAAGGAAAGATCTTTTTGCTTCTTTGGTTCTCAAAAAGAATTCGATTCGTTGATCAAATTGATGGGCCGGAGGATACTGCTGAAAGAAGCAGATCAAATATTGGTTATAATCAGGGAGAGAAACGGCACTATTGTAACATAGGAACACGACATTTATGTAAGCAATGTTCTGCAAACAAAAACGTACCTACGTTGTTCACAATAAGGAAAAACGAAAAAACGTACTCTCGTTTACAGAAGCAATACCCTCTTCGATTTTAAATGTTAACTAACTTGTACAAGTAGTAATTCTCCCAACATGTAACATTAACCAGTTTTCCCCGTATTTTCCCCTTTTATTATTTTTATAATGATTGCTTTATTGCTCGGTGTTATTGGTTTGTTTTCAAATTGAGCCACTAATCTCTCTCTCTCTTTTTTTAATATTAAAGTCAAATTTATGTTAAAACATAAAAAGGTGAGTACAATAAGTACATATAAGAAAAAACAAGTGATAGAGATGATAGCTAGGATTAAAATTTGCTGTGTTTGATTTTTAATAGTCTTAGCTCGCGTGAGGGGGCACATTGGGAATATACAAGAATTTAAATCCCCAAATGAGCAAATGATCACATTAATAGCCAATGTAATCTTGGACAATCAAACCAAAATGAACTTATCACTGTTCATTTTCTAGAAACGATGTAAAAAATAAAAGTCACGGGGAAAAACAAAGATGAAGAAATAAACGAAATAAAAATAGGAAGGAAACGATGCTTGAGATTACATGCATATTCTTTTCCCTGCCACTTTAACAATCAACTAAAAAATAGCAATATAGAAATGGATGCTGATGTCATCAGTTGACTTCCAGAGTGCCGTCTAGATGGCTGGTTGCTGCTGAGTAATACAGTGTATATTTCCACCCCCCAAAACAATCTCCCTTGCACCTTCAATTCCCACAACCTACGACATGAAAATTTTGAAATGTTCATTAATACATGGGGAAAAAAAAAAAAAAAAGATTACCATCAAACTAAGATCAACCACCCAAATTCATAACTCGCAAAACCACAAAGTACTTGCTGAATGCAGAGACAACCATTAATGTGATATAACATTTGGATCGGGACAATCATAAACATATATTGTCCGGTCACCCTTCTAAAACGGCAGGATTACTCTGCTCTATTCTGATGCATTAGTCAACTATGCTGTCAAATGGCGCCATTTTAAGAGCCTATCTCAAGTTGATTGATTGAGACAATTCACTAGCTAATATTTGGTTGTGGAACATGTTTTAATCTTCTGATCAAAAGAACATGTTTTAATCGTGCTATTGTAGAGATGACGACATATGCTTTTTAGCTTTCTACAAGCAGTTCCTTTGAGAACCAGCTTCAGTGGATGCCTCTTCAAACAGCTGGATCCTTCTCTTCTACAACGGCATATTATGAAGATCAGATGGTCCTCTCTAAGTGCTAAAATGATCTTATTACACATGATTATGCTTGGAGCTACACGTTTTCAACCAGATAGAGTCATGGAAAGCATAAATCTTCAGTCCCTTGCGTTATATCTATTCTTATCAAAATTGGACTTGCATGTAAATTCCACAAAAGGTGGTGCTTTATTGTTCCTCTCGACTTACATAACGGGTTATTTTATGGCTTTGAAATGATTAACTTAATCGGTGCCTCTTGACTTTAAAATGGATCATACTTCCTCTGCTTTTAGTTCTTAGGTTTCTTGCTTGGCTTCTGCCTTTCCCTTTGTATTTAAAAACGAAACAAGAAGATAAATTATATATCATCAATTATGTCAACCCAAACGCATTTTAACAATAACTTCTTACTTCGTGATGAGGAAAGGCCTTGGACAGGACTTGCAGAGCTTCGTCGTCCCATTTTTTATCTCCAAACTGCGGAACAATGACAGCTCCGTTTGCAATATAGAAGTTTACATAAGAAGCAGCAAGTCTTGTGCCTGGAAGTCTGGGTTTGCCGTCGCCATCCTGTAAAAGAAGTACAACAGTTGATAGCGTTACAATGAAGGTTGAGTTTCTCTGATTCCACGATCAAATCATTAATAAATAGTAGTGAATCAATCCTAATGCTTCAGGCTGGATTAGGCATTAGTCATCGATGTGAATTCAAAATTTCAGCATCATTATAATAAGATATCCATGACATTGTTACATCATCACAATTAAAGGCAAGTCATGGGAATCATTTCCAAAATAACTTGCAATTTGTTTTGCTCATGGCACCTTAGCTTTTTTCCACAGACATGTTGTAACCGAAATGGACTTCCACAAGTGTGTCTTAATTAGCTGACCAGTAGCTGACGGCTTCCCTATTGGAGGTCAATGAGGCTAACTCCATGTGGTTCTAAAATCAACATATGAACGAGTCTATTGGAGGTAATTAGTGACACTAAGCTTGTGTCCTTTCATCATGAGGGACTGTGACTCTGTTGGACGGGAGGCCAGAAACGAAAGACTTATGATTTATCTAGGCTTCTGGGTCAAGAGAAGTTGCAGCAGTATTCCTATCGAGGGTTGACTGATACAACATTGGAGGTGGTTGAGACATTGTGAATCTCATGGTTTTTTTTTTTAAGGGAAATTTGTTCTTCGGTTACATTAGGAGGGTTTGAAATCTTACCCACTACCTATACCTCTAGTCCCATGTGGTTTAAGCAAATGTTTCTTACCTATGAAGACATTGTTATTTGCCTAATTCCAAGGCCATTGCTTGGTAGCCTGGAGCCGCAAGGAGGGAGAGGGAAGAGTGTTAAAATATTTAATATACAGGTAGATAGATTTTAATCAAAGGTTGAAACTAAAACTCAAGTTTCCGCATAAGTAGAGACAAATTCCATAAGAAAACTACCAAATAAACAGATGTGACATTATGGAGAACACAAGCTCATTAAAACAGATGCCAGTGAACTCTTCATTTGAGTCTATTCATGCGAAAGATAGACGCAGAAAATTCTAAGCAAGCTCAATTCTGAAAGCCTGCAGACCTTGCAAGTTGCAACTTGCTATCCCAGTCTAATAAATCAGCAACGGCATTGAAATCAACATGCAAACAACCAAGATACAAGACATTCTAATCTCAGAAACAATATATAGGAAAATCAGATTGTCGGATGCATAAGAATAACGTCAAATTATAACTGGAAATTATACAGAAGTAACCCATACACTGGATCAACGAAAGCTACAGTGCAAAGGTAAACGGGGTTGGTAAGTGAACTTCAGCAATCATGCCTACAAGTGATGAGCGAAATTAAATAATAAAGATAACTAACATTTTGCTTTTCATTTGTGTTGAATCGTGATCAAAGAGGACTTTCAATTAAAGAAAGCAAGATATGCAAACATGTATACTTGCCTGAATGAGACCAGCAGCCTCTTCCTTGGTCATATAGAGTGGGCCAGGTATATGGAGTTTAATTATTTCAAGTTTTCTGCCATTGGCATCGGTTACACTTGAAAGCAATGAATATGCCTCTGCAGATCTTTCATACTGCGGATCAGTTTCATCATCAGTCCAAGACAGAAGAACCACACCAGGCCTTGCAAAACAGCACATGTTGTCGATATGACCATTAGTGTCATCATCCCCTGCATCAAACCATTATAAAGATTTATTTAACATAAATGGACAAAGGCTAATTACCAATTTTAACATTTATGTATCAAGATATATCTGGATCAGGCATATATAAGTGCCTAAAACTCCTAAGTTGGCCATCTTTCCAGAAGTATATATATCAGCCTAATCATTTAAAACCATTTGGATCAGCCTGCACTCTTGAAAGTGGATTGTATCAATCGATGCTGAGGTGTAAATAAAGCAAAATTTTAGTCTTGTAACATCCATGAAAGTAACTACAGAAGGATTGCCTGATTTCTAAGATGAAGGATTTCAGAGATATTGAACTCTGAATTCAATTTGTATTGAAAGAAAGATTGCATAAATGGGGAAGGAAAACAGACAAACGTCCAGTCCAATGCCAAAATTATCCATCAATCAAGCAAAGAGTAATGGATGCATAAAGATGAAAGTTGATTAGTAATTAGGGGACAAACCGCAGATAATTATGTAAAAGAAGTCATGATCTTCGACTAGTATCAAAGCAGAAGAAAGTTATCACCTAGATCTTAATGGTTTTGAATTTTCTTTCTAAAAATAAGCTGCAGACCCCAGGAAAGAATCAGAAACTTCACAAATTTCTAGGAGCTTTCGTTCAAACTTTGCAAGGAAAGAAATGTGTTGGTTTTGCTTTACTTTAGTTTCATTCTAACATTGAGAAAAAGGAGAGGTCATAAACAATTTTACTGTAAGTGCAAAGCTGTAACTTCAAGAATTTTGATAGTGAACGATGGCATAGTATAAGAAAAACTACAGAAATATCATGCTACTTTTCAGCACTCTAAATTTTGTTCTTTGTCAACGAGATAAAAGTGAAGACTAGAAGCACTAAAGTTGATTAATGTCGTAATCCCCAAAAAGAACAGTTGATTAACGTCAGCATAGAACACCAGAGGACAGTCAGATTCTACCCTTTATAACACTTAAGAAGAAGCATAGAATGCTTGTACAGCTCATTCATAGTGATTATTCTATCTGAATAGGCTTTGATAGAAAGCTTTGCAGTTTCCATATCCTACACTGGTTTTTTCTATATCCTATATTGCAAGGCATAACTATATGGTCCCTTTAAAAATTTTCATTGACTGAAATTAAGCAGCCAAAGTAAAATTCTATCAGTTCAAACCAAAATAAAAGCTCTTAAATCTAAAAGATAAGTTCCTTACCATACAGTCCACGAGGCAACCATATAATCTTTCTGACTCCCAGACATGCTTTAAGTTTATCCTCTATCTGGATTTTACTCAAGCCAGGATTCCTGTTTTTGTTCAAGAGACATTCCTCGGTGGTAAGACATGTCCCTAAGTTAAAGAAAGCATTGTCATAAACCGCAGAATCATTAAACTTTTCAAGCAAATGGCATCTTACATGCGGAAGGGGGACTGAAGGGTACAGCAGTAAAAATCTAATCATATGTGGTCAGGAAAGACTGGATAAAGCAATTAAGTAGACATAATGAGTACTGACTGAATAAAGAAAATAATCAGAAATTATAGTTACCACATATTCTTGCTCATGAATAAGCCAAAACTAAAACCAAATTTTGAATTGAAGTTTCATTGACAGCAGACTGGCATTTTATAGAATCTCTATTCACCAGCTTACATGCTTCTCCAGTGTCCAAACTAGAGAAAAATATTTTAACATCACAAAATAACTCTTACCTTCTCCATCCACATGGATGCTTCCGCCTTCAAGCACAACTGTTTGGGGAAATCTAGGAATCGTCTCAATTTCCAGAATCTAGCAAACATGCCATGATAGGATAACTAAATTAGCATATTGAACAAAAAATTCACTTTTACATGGACAAATAGTAAGATATCCAATTACACAAACCTTCTTAGCAACTAGGAGGTCAAGACTCCAGTCATGATAACAGCCATCATCTAAACCTAGACAATTTTTAAAATTTATCAGGTAAAGAGCCAAATAACTACATAATAAATATGAACTGAGAAAGATATTATTGTTAGTTAAATAACCCAATTACAAGTTAAAAAATTTTAGTCAAATAACCCAAAAGCGAAATGACAATAAGCCAGACTTCCCAAAGTTTGTCTGCAAACAACAACTAAACAAAAATCTAAAAATCATTTCCTTTCATGATTCATCTTATAAAGCATCAGACAACTCTTAGTTCAATAAAAATGATTTTATCATGTTTCACCAACGAAACAAGGTTAAGATGATGGCAAATAAAGATTATTGGATGTCTGTTTGTTTACCTCCCCAGCTGTTAAAATTCCAATCAATTCCCGCGACCTTCGGTTCTGTATCAGACCTTCTGCTCACAACAAACTGGAGAGGGAAAAAATCGCAAAAGTAAACGGAAAGCAAAAGGCGTAGTTACTACATTTACACATCCGGGCAAGTTTATCTAATCCGCTACGTGTTATTCATGAGGGAGCAACTCACGGTGGGCCCAGTGTCACGAAACCAAGAATCATTGAAGCTCATCTCAACGACCCTGATATTTGAAGGTAGCAGACTTCGCGCATTCTTCCACTGAGAATAGGAGGACATTACCAAATTCAACAATAGCACAAAACATTATTTATGAATTCCAAGCGAGGTTATCAACGCCTTATATCTTTAAGGAACCTGGGAAGAACTTGCACAAACTGTCACAGGCTCAAACTTTGAGATTGCAGATGCTACCCTGGCAAATACATGCTGGGAGTGAACAGCCTTGTCTCTCCAATTATCCGGACGTTCCTGTTATTCAGAATCACACTTGCTCAAAACGGCGGCGGAGGAAACAAGAGGGATTTTGTGACAACAAGAGGAGTGAATATTTTGAGGAAAGTATCCCATTGATCATATAAGACAATTGAATTTTTTCTGGAAAGGATGGCATTGATCAGACATACAACAACCAATACAGGCAATTGGGGGGGGGGGGAGAAGAGAATGAGAAAACTAGTTGAATCAGCAAGAAGATAGAGTTGGACCAGAAAATTAGGGTAGCATAAGCCACTATAAAAGGGGGGAAAAAAAATCAAATCGAAGGACGGCATAAACACAAGGCTCCAGACCAAGAGGGAGGGGGCTTGCGATTCATTGCTCAGTTTTGATTAGAGGAGAGGGCAGATATACTTACAGGCCAACCAATCCAACAGTGCGAGTGGGGTTCCCACTCTGCCGGCATATGAAAGCCAAGAGAAGCCGGCGTGCCGTTGAGCTCCATGGACGAGACTCTGAGTTGTGGGTTGGAGCAGAGCGGAGAGGAGAGGAGAATCTTGGATGACAAGTTTCGTAAAGGCAAAATGAAGAGCAGGAGAAAAGATGACTTTTTGGTTGTCGTGCAACTGCTGGTTGGATTCCCTCACCCCCACTCACAGGATGCAGATTCCCTGGAACCCGATTCGCAATGGAATCTGTTCGCAGTCATGTTTGCGAAAATATACCGTCCCATGTGGATGACACGACAAAATTAAAAAAATATTGGGATAAAAATAAAATCATGAGTTTAAAAATAATTTTACAATATACAAAATAAATATGTAAAGAAATTTGTCTCGATTTATAAAAAATATTTTTATAGCTTTCCAAACGCTCTGTAAGACTGCATCATACCTTTTTCAAGGTATGAACAGTTTTTTCACGGGCTTAAAGGCGGAGAAAAAGGATCCGTCAATTTATTATCAATTCTCATAAAAGTGGCGAGGATATTTATTTAAAATCGTTTGAGTTGGATTTGATAATAAAATTATAGAGTAGGTTGGGGTGAAAAAAAGAACGAGTGAGGAGGGTGGGGACATGGCATGCGGGAGCTTGCCTTACCTGGGACGATGAGTTACGATACTTCAGCTGTCCTGTGCTGCATTGCGGGGTGGGCCCGGGGCAGTTGGGAGGTCGCCTCCAAAAACACAGAAAAGGACAACCGCATTTTGGGCGTCAAATGAATTCGCACTCACCAGTCAGTACTCCCTCCGTTTCCTTTCATAAATTACTCTCGCTATTTTTATTGGAATTGAACATTATTTAGAAAATTTCATACCTTCTTACCTCAATATTTAATGAGAACCAAAATAAAAAACTGTAATAAGTACTCCCTCCCTTTCTTATTATTATACCTGCATAGCATAGGAAAGATGTTTGCCAGGGCTCATAATATTTGTCAATTTTAGTTCTCTCTGTTTTTTTTTTGCCCCTTGTTACTTGTAGGTTCCAAAAAATTGCATTATATTAGGAATGGTATTAAAGAATACAAACAGCTTTTTTCCCCCCAGATTTTGATATTATGCAGTGATTATTTTCATCATGGTAAACAAAATACTATAATTGTTATCAACAACAAATTACAATTAATTTCAACAAGGTAAAGTTAGGTCATTTCTATCACGACGTTTTATTTTAAGATGTTGGTTGGACCTGGAAGATCACAATCTTTTTTCCTTAATTGCAAAATGATGAAATTATTCCAGATTCACAAGCTCAGCTGATTTACATTGTGAACCAGGATGACTATTATCGCTGAGTCTTATTTATTTATATTTGCCAGCAAAGTCTAATCCATGATATCTCTATCCGCATTCTTGAACTTATTAGTTCCTACTTGTGCTCATTGCGAGCAGTTCATCACGTAATGTTTATATATTTCATAATTTTCCCAGCTTTAATTACTGCTTTAGGCCTTATGCATATATCGCCCGTGAATATGTTAATGATCATGGATGCTAGTCGGTGCCACCTCTCGTTTTGGTTCCATCATGCAAAATACATGTCTATGCTCCTTTTTTTTGCTGACTTTTCCCTTTGCTACCAACATCACATTATTCATTATCATCATTGTACTACTTGGTCGTTTATATCAGATTTAGTTGGTGGTTAAATTTGATTCTAAATAGGAAGTGTCAATTCATTTTATTTTTCATCTGTTCTTAAAATGTCCCTACTGATTATAAAGAGTTCTCTCCAATTATCTGATGTACACAGTTGAAAATAGTTTATAAAGATCAACACACATTTATTACAAATAACTAACTTAATCAATTTCCTTAATATTCTCAAATAAGTTATCTAACTCTTATATTAAGGGCCGAAAATAAGATTATCTAATTTACTTAACAAAGACACACACATATTCCACATATATTACATTCCATGTTTCAAGCAAAATTAAAACATTTCATAATTCTAATCCTTCGTCTAAATAAAATACTCGTGTTATTTATATCTACACATTTTTTTAATTATTGGAACATCCATAACTTCTGATCAATGTTGTAATGCGCGCATATCACTTACTTAATTGCGCATATATAATTACTTGATACACAGTACTATTATTAGATTACATTTCAGAATTAATTGTCAAAAATCTCATTTTAAAATTTTAAGTTAATATGTGATCTAGCAGCGCACTTTAAAGTTTTCTTTTTTCTTTCGGGCTTCGGCAACTAATCACAATTGTCCCATCTCAAATCATTGTAGGCATCCTCTTCACTATCGGCAAGCTGATGATATTTTATTTTCTTTTTAGTAAGTTTTTACCATCAAATACGTTCATTTTCTAGTCCTGCAGTTATGTATATAAAGTTTTCTGTTTGGAAAAATTATAATTAGATTCCACCCAAGGAATTAAATATAAAAAAATTTCTTGAAATCATGAAATTATTCTGAAATCCTAAAAAACATTTTTGCATTAAATTTTATTTATTTAATTACCAAATTGCTCTTTTTTTTAAAGTTTGCATGACAACTGAAAGAGCAGTCCTTGACAACTTAAAATGCAAGAATTGACAACTATCACGGCGGGTATTGATAACATATTTTCTCAACACATCACAAAATATAATATATGAGTTGTCAATACCCGCTCCAATAGTTATCAAACTTTGCACCTTAAGTTGTTAAACACTGCTATTTTAGTTGTCAATGCAAACTTTAAAAAAAAGTAATTTGGTAATTAAACAAATAAAATTTATTACAATAAGATCTCTTGGGACTTTAAAATAATTCCATGATTTCAAGAGACTTTTTTATATTTAATTCTCTTGGATAGTGCCTAATTGCAATTTTCCCTTTTTTTTAAAATCTTTAAACTCTCTTAAATTATATTATGCACAATTAACTAATGTGATTATCACAGTGCTCGAAATTTATAGGCTTCTTGTAGGCCAATGGGTCCTAATAAAATGAGCATACTATCAAAAGCAAATTAAACACAATAAAAGGAAAAAGGGTCCGCTTAAACCGGAATCCAAGGCTATGTTTGCTAGAGTAGAGGGGAATGAATTTTAGGGAATAAGTTTCAAAAATATGTTTCGTATTTCAATACAAGGTTTGGATAATATTTATAATTAAGAAGCGAAGTAGCATCATACCCTTTTGCTTCTCAAAGAAAAAGACAATTTATGAGTATTTGGGTGAAAACCAAATATAAAATAAATATATGAAAAAATTTGTCTTAATTTATAAAAAAATATTTTTAAAATATATTTTGAATGTTCCCAAACAACCCTTAATGTTTGTTAGGCAGGAGTAGGTGGATGGGATCGGACTTTTGTTGCGAGTTATTGGCTTGGGTCACAATCAACCAATGGTGTTTTTTTTATTTTTTTTGTTTTAAGATTCCACCAAACCAAACTTTGGAGACACGCGGGCCACTTCCGTCCCTGGTTCCCTCCGCCCCCGGAATCTGTTTCATCAGGGAATCTAAATTACCATCTAATCCATCGTCCCAATAAAATTCTGAAAATAGACATTCTATCTCCTTTTTTTTTTTTTAATTGGAACATGCACAGGTTTTAATTTCACTCAATAGTTTGTTTTTTTGCATTTAAACCTGAAATTATAAGTCAATTAAAACCGCAACATTTCATTTACAGAAAAAAAATTTCATGTTACTGAACTACTCCTCCCGTCCTTAATATAGAACTCAATTCTTGAGTTGGTTTTGGTCCTAAATATAAAACCCATTTTTATATTTATCAATTTTTTAAAATTACTCCTATGAATACTCTTTCAACCATGATTAAGTAGAAGAGGGAGATGGAGTATTAAGAAAGATGATTATGGTGTTTTAGGAAAAATGTGTCACTTTTCTTATAATTAACTAATTTACCTAACTTCCTTAATCTAATTAAATTAGTTAAATGAGTCTTATATTAAGTATCGGAGGAGTACAATGTTATTGCTGGGGTCTTTAATGAGAGGGGACATCTATCGACCCTCACAATAACAATTTAACAAAGGAATTAATGCGGGGGAATCGCCGAACTGCATATAGCATAAACGTTTAGAGAATTAAAATTAATATTATATATATACTTCCTCAGTCCTAAACATAAAACTTATTTTATAATATAATTTCTATTACAAAATGAGCACCCGAGGAGTGTGTGTGTGTGTATATATATATATATATATAAAGAGTAAAAGCAGAAAGTGCATGGTACGCAATCGCATGGTAGCATCATGCTAATTCATGGAGAGAAATGCATGATATCCAGGAAAATAAATAACCCAATGAACAGAAGTGTGCTCAGAGTTTCTTTGTTTAAAAGAAAGTGAAACCTCTCCTTAATTATATATTATATGAAATAAATGAAAGCATGACGTTGCATAAAAGATTGGATTGGCTCCTAATGGGATTGCTTTTGGTGATTGGTGAACACATACCACAGGCCAAGGCAGATTGTTCCTACACTAGGCGGTAATGAAGGGCCTCAAAAGTGAAATGAAGAAAGACCAAGTTGAGGGAAAGGGACCACTTGAAGTTTCATTTTCAAAGGCCGGAAGGAATAATGGAAGTTCCACTTCTTAGGCCAGAAAGGGGAAGTTATTACTAGTTGAGATACTAATTTTTTTTTTAAGAGCAGTTTTAATCTCACTATTAACTCCTCAAAAAGTTTGTTAAATAAATATGCATGAAGCATCCTAAAGTATGATGGATGCATCTAAGAAATACTTCAGAATAATAAATAAATTACAAAATACTTTAGAGTATTAGAGGAACTTAAAAAAACACTTTAACCACAAAATGTTGTGTGATTTGACTGTTGATAGATTGAGAAAAAGAGAAAGAGAAGCACCTGAAAATTATATAAACAAGCATCCGATAAAGAAATTAATATCGATTGAATTCCTAAAGTTATGAATACGAAGACACTAATTAGTATTTTGGTTTCTTTCATGTTTTGTGCCGTAACCGGCTCATTGTTGCTGTTTGGTTATGTTGAGGTCACTGGGAAGATGACATGTATGCGTACATGTTTCATTGATAAGGCTTGGATCCCATTCAGTTCTTCGGGTTCTTCTCTCCTACATAGGATTCATTAATAGTAATGAAGATAAAACCATCGTAGATATCAAATTAGTTGCTTCAAGATGTTATCACAACGCATCATTGCTGGTTGAAGCTACTCACAGTTTCATTCTTCGTTTAATTTCATATGCACTGCACCAAACCCCGCATTTTAACTGTTATGATTTACGTGCGTTTTGAAACCCCTTCCCCTTCCCCATAGGCCATGGCTATCAAACCCTGTTGTTTGGAAACACGGGCTTCAGCTTCAGGTCTTGACATTTATGATTTGCTCCTTTTGGGTGGATCAGGCCCAAGTCCATTAACCAGTGGGGCTTCAAATGGGAATAACAAAAACTATGGACTCGTGATTGCGATGTGCCCATTTTGTTTGAAACGAATCCCTGGAAGGCAGAGTCTAGTTTAGTCGGGACACATGAGATTAGAGGCTGAGTGCAACTTCCACTGGGGACCACACATGGATGTTTGAGATGAGTCCCTGGACGCTCTTAAACTCTCAGAAATTTTTGTCTAAATCAGACGTCGTAATTTTATGCGCCCTCTTGTCTTTATTACAAGGACTTGTAACATGTTTTTGTCTAAACCATTAATTTTTTCACAGTAATTCTAACCAATTATAAAATTTCAATTAAGCAGTCTCTTTTGACTAATCATTTTTACTGAGAATAATTCTGTAAATAACTGATTTTATAAATAGGTCTACAATAGGCACCGAAAGAGTATTTCTGTTTGCGTTGGGAAAAGTGATTCTGTTAGCGCATCCCTTTTTTCCCACCGCAGTTGTTTCTTTTTCAAACGTATGATTACACAAAAACTGCCAAGGTCTAAATTTGGATGGATAAGCAAAAAAAAAAAAAAAAAAAAATGGCCAGCAAGAATCTGGAGACCCATGTGATGAGTTGCTCGAACTATAGCTTCAGTCCATCATTTTCACGTTGCAAGCATGCTTGCTTGTTCGTCAAGGAAGCAAAGATCGTAACAAACCTTGAGCGTTTCAGGGTGGTGCGTGACAGTTAAGGGCGAACTCCTCCCATCATTCTCCGGGCCTCTCAATAATTATATACCATCATTTCGTTACTGGTTTACGAAGAAGCTTAGCGTTATAAGTGATGATGGTGAAGACAGGCGTGATTGGGATTTTGGTGCTGCAAATGTGTTGGCAATGGATGGGGAGTGGGGGGCAGAGAATAGTGAGGAGGATGGACCTGCCATCGCCGGTGACAGGTCCGGAGTCGATAGCATTTGACTCCATAGGAGGAGGACCTTATACGGGCGGATCTGACGGCAGAATCTTCAAGTTCGAAAATGGGGCCTTTGTTGAATTTGCTTACACTTCCCCGATCAGGTACTCGTCTGTGTCTTGCTGTTGGGAATTAGATTGGTTAGTTTGATTGGTGAGTACTGAAATGAAATGGTAATGCAGGAATAAAACCTTGTGTGATGGAATAGCGGGCTTCTCAGCACTGCAAGAAACATGCGGGAGGCCCTTGGGATTGGGGTTTCATGAGGGGACGCAGGAATGGTACGTAGCGGATGCGTATCAGGGCCTCGTCAAGGTGCCTTCCTTTGGAGGCCGCCCCACGCAAGTCGTCACCTCTGTACAATGCCGTCCTTTCCGCTTCCTGGATGCTCTCGACATTGATCCTTCCACTGGCATTGTTTATTTCACTGAAGCCAGCTCTCGATACCAGCTCAAGTAAGTAACCCCTCTTTGTTATTTTGACACAAAAGTCAATGAATAAATGTGGTACCGTCATTTGTACAGGGACATGCAGGCTCTGCTCTCCAGCGGTGACAGTTCAGGAAGCCTGCTCAGTTATGATCCTCGAACCGGACAAACCAAGGTTTTGCTGGGGAATCTGGCTCTGCCAGGCGGAGTGGCCGTGAGCAGAGATAGTTCATTCTTGCTGGTCACTGAGTTCTTGGCCAACAGAGTTCAGAGGTTCTGGCTCACAGGTCCCGGGCAAAATAGGTCTGAACTTTTCCTGCAGCTTGCGGGCAGGCCCGATAATATCAAGAGGAATTCCGGAGGCGAGTTCTGGATCGCAGTGAACACTCCTCTCGGGCCGCCCACGACAACTGCCTTTTTGCCTCTTGCAGTCAGAGTGAATGCGGCTGGTTTTATTTTGCAGATTGTACCTCTCACCCAAATATATGGCAATCAAGAAGTCAGCGAAGTCCAGGAGCATAATGGGGCACTCTATTCCGGCTCCCTTCTTGCTCCTTATGCTGCTATTTTCAGTCCCTAGTGTTCCGAACTCACAGCTGCATTGATCGAAATTCGTATAATTAAAGAATTTATGACATATGCTTGCTTAGCGCTTACCCGTAGTGGCTCAAGGCCTTCCATTAAAACAGACTTCATTCCGATAACCGATGCTTCATATAACAAATCATCCCTTTAACTGCGCAATGAGTCCGCATTCATGCGTCATGCCCTCGCAAATGAAGAACCTCTCGAGTTGATTTGGACATCAAAAAAAAATTCACAGAAGCAACTCTAGCACATCGAACCATGCAAATATGATAGTCCTAGTTGATTAGCGTTTGCTGAAGCCATCCTAAAATAGTTGTGTTGCTTTCATCCGATGGAGTCATGGAGCCATAGCGAATCAAATGCATACATCCCATTAAAAATTATTGCCACAGGCACCTAACTAAAATTAAGCTCCTTCAAGATGAAGGGGTATTTTTGGACATCTGGACTTCTACAGAAGTAGGCATTCCAATTTGCTAGGACCAGTCGGTTAAATGCTTAAGCAATGAGAAGTAGCGGAGTTGATCAGTTTGAGAAGCTACGAATGATGGTTCATTGAAGCAGTTCTCGGCAATACTCGAAGTAGCCCTTCACCTTACTATTCCTTGTATTGACTAAAGCATTCTCACTTATGGAGCAGGACATTGATAACAATATTCACAACATCTATGGTTCATCTAATGAACTTCAGTTTAGAGTAATAAGTAGCTTAACACTACAAGTGGGAAATAAGTCTAAAGGAAAGGCGAATAGCAAAAAGAAACAATAAAAGGTTTCTACATGATTTGTCCGTGTTCTCGTCCACTGTGAGTCTTTCAGACGCCCTTCATAACAGTAAAAAATTCTTGAAGGTCTTCAAACTTCACGTTTGCGAGGCCTGTGAAACCGTATGATTATATCAGAAATATTGAATTTTACTTGCTTTAGTTCATTCAAATTGCAGTGGGTTGAACAATATTATGCATACCCTTTGCATAATCTGTTGCAGATAGATCCTTTTTTCGTTTGTAAATTCCGCTCGTATTCATTTGTTCAGTCTGTTCGGTCATGCTACTCTTCAGGTTTCCCAGCTTTGTTCCAAGTTCTGAGGCGGTTGTCACAATCTCTAAAAGAAACAACAATCTATTTAAAGATCTGTCCAGTTCAAAATTTTTACACATATAGTAACTATGACTGAACAATTTTGAGTAGAAAATATTAAATTTCTTTCCTCCGTTCTTAGAAAACGTAAATGCAGGAAACTCAAAACTTTTAGGGTAAATTTGGTTGGTCCCAGGAGGAGAGTGCACGCAAAGCAAGGCAATTTTTATGCAATGCATATTATAGTTATCGTTATTCAACATTCTCTTTCCACTTCTAATATTCTTATATAAAAACTCAAGAATTATTTATCATAATATTCTTGTTCTTTTCCCCTTTCCATTCCAAAAATCATATGAGTCAATATGCCCTTGCATGTAAAAGAAATATAAGCTATAAGGATTAAGGGAACAAAAAATGTACCATTTTGAAGTCGCATTATTCGCCAAAATGTTTCAAGTTTTGCAATTGAAAGGGGGAGAAAAAAGCCCCTTCATGGTGATTTAATTAGAAAATGAATCCATTGAAACATTGAGTCAACCCACTGCATTCCAAGAATTTAGTGCCCTTCGTCAAACTAAACGAAATAAGCAATATGCAAGCATTTCAATCATGGAAAAAATTGATATGTGGTTTTCAATCAAAACATAACAAATGTATGGTTCTCCACATGATAACATGAGAGATGTAAGATTTTCTAAACAACTATATGATTTTCCATTTAATAAGAAAGCTAAAATGAACTACATATAAGCCTAATATTTTGAATATTGGTGCACCAAGAGCAAAATGGAGTGGCATCTGATTAAAATGAAAAGCATACAGTTTGCATCAGAATTCTTTTCCAGTGCTATAGGTCTAAAAACATGAAAATAAATTTGACGAAAGAAGCTCTTTAGTTACCCTGAAATAACTCATGGACAGAGTTTTGATCATGTAACGGTAATGTTTCACTGATTAATCCACTATTAAAAGTAGACCGTCTTTCTAATTCTTGAACTTCTTGATTCAACAATTCAGACGTCTTACGAACCTGGAATATGTTAGCATTGAAACAAATCAAATTGAGAAGCCGAAAAAATTAAAATCATCTGTCCATGTGAACGAATTACTTATTATGCAGTTGCACGCTGCATTTTTAATACCTCAGTTAGCTTCTTTCTCAGGGAATCTAATTGCGCCTCTATCTCTGGATCAAAAGGAGATCTACAGACGGAGCCATCCTCAATTGAATTGCCCTGGAAATGCATCTTGAAAAACTATTATAAAAAGAACTAAAATACAGAAGCAGTATTGGGGGGGGGGGTTCAGAGACACAACACCAAATACTAAGAGGTATTGGTAGGAGGGAAGCAAAATCTTTCCTTTACGATACTCTATTTACTATGTGCAACGGTGTTCTTTTTGTTTTTTGTTTTTTGTTTTATTTAATTCACAGGCTTAAAAAAACATTCCAAACTACGAAATCATGGTTTCAATTTCTATTTCGCTTACCAAAGGGCCTAAAATGAATTTTCTCTGCCACGGTGCACCTCCATTTCTAGTCATGGTTGTGGCCTAACATAGATGTATGTTTCTCTTATAAAAAATGCCGTGTACACTACATACACATATTATCAGTCACTTGAGCAAGTGTTATCACAATTGGTGCCCAACATGGTAAATGCTACTTTATATACTTCCTATATACACGGAAGATCTTAAAATTAATATATCAGTCTTGTAATACGGGCATGATCCTAGAAAATGTTAGATTAAAATTCAAAACGCAAATAACAAAGTCAACATGGTCTGTGAAGGGAGCAAATATGATCTATAGATGTTAACCTGATGTTGTAGCCCAAAAAATGCTACAAAAATGGTAACAGTAACATGTTAGGTAAAGCAGGTAAATAAAAAGTATAGCAAAACAAATTTTTTGTCACGGTTCTCTACAACCAATTTTACCATCATGAAAGAGGACCTACACTCTTTTGCATGACAAAACTTTGGGGAACAGAAAAACAGTGACGAAGGCAGTATTTCTCCCAGATAGCCAGTCTCTTGTCCAAAACTGCTTGAATCACACTGCGGATGCAATCAACACCCTGAAACAAATCAAAGGGGCAAAAGAATCAAATATGTAACGGAACAATTATCACGCGCATCAGTTCCAAGTAAATCTTTCTGCGGACTCGCATTATAGTCCTAATTATAATCAGTACAGTTGTTCAATTAAGATTAAAAAAAAAAATCGTCAGCAGAGAACGAAGATAGAACGAAATCCATGCACAACATTTTGCTTCCTGGTGCATGATGGGACTGACCTTTCTCAGATCTTGGGATCTTTCCGAACCTTCAGGGTTGAGCTTCGCCGAAGCTTCTCTGCAGGACATGAGTTGAAAGACAGAATTTCCAACACCATGTTTCGAACAAAAGAACTGAGAAGATACTTACTGGTAGAAGAAATCGAAAGCATCATCGACAACATCGTCGACCGTGTTGAGGACTTCGTTGACAAAGAGTTGTGGGTTGAGATTAAGGGTATCGAAAATGGCCTCACTTTCACTGCCTTCCATCCCTACGGAGACACTATCGCAGCAGAGAGAAGGAACAAGAGTGGAGGATTTCCCGCCAAATTGGCTCGGGGGGCCGCTCGAATATTTGAAAACGAGAAGGGCCATGTCCAATTAAAATAGGGTTCGGCTTGCCTGAAACGATACCTGCAGCTCCTCTGTGTTTTAGAAATCCTGGCCGTCGGCGTGATCAACACATGAGAAGAAGCCACGTCACCTTCATAACTTTTTTTTGGGGGACTAAGAAGGCAAGCTAAAGGTCGAAGGAAAGAGAGAAGAAAAAAAGCAGCGAACTACGCAGAGGCTCTATTCTCATCGGTAAATCAAATGGAGTTGACTCACTGCTAAAATTTGCAGATCCATATTATTGGCGTGAGCGTTCCTGGCAAGGCAGTCAGCGCATTTCAGAGCTTCCCGACACACGTGTTATCTCCGGATGCCATATCTCAGTGATGAGAGATCCAACCTCCATAACTTCTTTACTCAACGGCTGCATAGTTCCACAGTCATGCAGCATGGCAACTGTAAAGCTTCCACGGAGTCTCTTGTGTAAACCTTTAACTTCAAGTTGTTTGGTGTTGCTTCAGCTCCAAAAAAAAAAAAAGTTGCTTGGTGTTGCCGCCGATGATATTTTCTTTTTTTAACCAAAGAATGCCGACGATATATTTATGGTATGAAAATCTGTTATTTATTAGCGCTCACTTACAAAACACTTTCTAGAAGGCATTTGTCATCGTTTTTATAAAATATTGAAACATAATGTATAAATCGCTCCTAGAAAAATAATTTAGCCCAAAATATAAATAACTTTTTAGGAGTAATTAATATTTATTTGTTAATTTTATCCCTACAATAAATATTTAAATGTAACTTTTTTTTTAATCTTTTTTCTACACAACCTCATCTCATTTAATATGAGTAATGTTAAAAAAAATCAATTTGAGATATTTGATAAGTTAACTGCCATTAAAGCCATTTTTCAATTATAATGAATTAATTAAAGTGATTGTGTTGTAAACCAAGGGGCATACTCTTTCCGTCCCTAATTATAAGATTCTCTTTTTTTGAATGGATTTATTCCCTTTTATAAGGTTTCCTTTGAGTTTGTCTGACATTTAATGTATTGTTACCTATTTACTCTTAATAAATTTCATATATTATATTCTCTCTATTTATCTCACTATTACTTTTTTATATTTATTAGGGGTATATTTGGAAAAAAAACTTATATTTATTACATATTAATTGCTTTTAACTAATTTTAACTGTTTTCTTAAAAAGCGTAATTTGGCCAAAAGGTTCTTATAATTAGGGACGGGGTAATATTTAAAAAGGTCCTAAAAAAGTAAAAATTAATAGGATGTTGAAATTTAGTGTAGTTAATAAGAAAGAATAATGTTAAAACTTAATTAAATTTTATACAGAGAATCCAAAAAAAAATATTTATAAGACAGAGAGAGAAAATATTTTTTGATCATATTTATAGGGTACTGAGAGAAATTTTTTGTATGGATATACAATTTTACCTTTGATTGATTATTATGTTGATTTTGTTTATATAAGGTACAATATATATTAAATAGGGATCAGTTCGAAAGTTGTGAAATTTTAAATTAAAGTTAATAAAATTTAAAGTTTTTCTTAGTTTGTATAAAATATATTAGAAATGATTTATAAATAGGATTAAAAAGATAAATCATTAAGTAAAAAACTACTCGAGAATGTAAGAAATCAATTTCTTTGTTCCCTTTCCCCTCTTTCCCGACTGTAAGCTTCGCGTCTGTACTTCCCAAAAAATATAAACGGAAGTATAATATTTTATTTAACATTTCTATGATATAATTAGGTGGACAATAACCAAAAAAGAGGCTAAAATTTTGTAAATATCAATCAAGGAATGTCAACAAAAATTTGTTGTCATTTGCAGATCCTGTCAATATCAAATAAAATTATGTTATCAAATCTGATTTGAGATTTATAATTTCCAACTTCTTTTTCTGTCATTGTACTTAGGTAGTGTTTGGATAAAAACCAAACCATGGTTTCAGAAGTGCTTTTACGAATTACGAAGTAAATATGTGGAGGAGGTTACCTCGTTTTACGGAAAAGTGCTTCTGAAACCACGGTTTTGGAACACCCAAGCAGAACCTTAATTAGATTGGCTAGAAGGAATATATTAAGTAAATTTATTTATTTTGGAGAACTAACTTCACTTTGACCAAATATACTGCTTACCCAGTTAAAAATAATACTACCTCCTGTCCTAATTATAAAACCTTATTTATAGTAATATAAGAACTCGTTTTAACTTTTATTTTGATATTAAAGATAAAATCATAATTCATTTTGTCTCTTATATTTACTTTTTTTTTTTTCAAAGATAATTTTTGTAATAATAATAGTTCTAGCTAACACATTTCATTAGTAAAGATATTTAAAAAAAGACTATCCATTTATTACAAATAGCTCACTTAATTAATTTTTTTAATTTATCTAAATTAGTTAACTAATTCTTATATTAACTCAGGATCAAGCTTATTCTTCGATCAAAGAAATACATAGAAGCATAAAATAGAAGCTACAAACAAAGCGTTTTAAGAAGGACGGGAAAATGTTACCGCTATTCAAACTTGGGAAATGTGAACCATGGACCATGGTGGAATTACACCTGATAATTACCATACGGTCCAGCAGTAGTTGCAAGCAAAACTTATTCACTTTGGTTAAAAAAGCGCATTCTAATTCATCAACTTGATGTCTTGAATACTTTTGAAGGTTATCCGCAAAAACCAAATACTTTGGGTTTTCTCCGCTACCCTTTGTTCTTCAGTTGAATTATTTGACAGCAACGATTGTGACCAATAATTCTACTAGAACAGGAAGTTACTGCTCTTCCACCCTAAGGCGATCTGAAAGCTTCCCCGGCATAACGCACACTTCCGAGTTCCTCCTCAATGCGAAGAAGCTGCAATAAAATTCAAAGCATAAATTAAGGGCAATGTCAAAATGCTAAGTGCTAACCTTTTGTATTATATTCAGCAACTGAAACATGCAAAAAGAAGTTCGTGCATGCTATCTGATCATGTGGTTTCATACGGCCCAGACTGTTGCGTTTTGACTTCTGACTTCAGAGAGAATAATCAAATTGATTGTAACGACAAGTAGTTACTTGTACAAGTAGTCTGATAGCTAGAAAATTTATTATAGGGAACCAAGGAAAAACAAGAGGGTAGAAGAGCAAATACTTCTGGTTCTGTTGTTCGTCCCACGGATCCCAATAGTGTGAGGAAGAGTAAAAGCTAGACTAATGATGTTTTGGGGGCTGCCTTAGGGTGTAGCTCGTGTTGGAAGTGGCGTTCCTTTTTGGATTTTTAGTGGCAGGTACTGAGCATGACGATAAGACTGGCCTCTCGAACGACAATAGTGTGCATTGGTTGCTCACCAGTGTTGTGTATTTTGTTAAGGTTGCTAGCTGTATAGACTGTACTGAGGAGTGAGGAAAAGGGTTTTGGCCAGAATCAGTGAGAATCCTTTCTTAACACGGGTTCGGTTCCTTTTGACATTTAATATGAAGAACCTCGATATTTCCCCCTTATTTACTGTCGGAGACTTGTAGTACAATTTTTCTGTTTTCTGGTGGTTGTTTATTTCAGCAGGTTATAACATAGTCACATAAAAATTCAGAGAAATTTCTTCCGACTATCCATATTAACACTTGACTTCCTTGTTCTGCTTCTACTTCGAAATTGATCATGTTAGCCCCAAGCACCAGTACTTACTGCAGCCACCTTTCTTTCAGGAAGAATCTGACAATTCTCAGAAGGTTTTTAATTTGGTACAGCATTTGATGTATTCTGTCATGCCAATGATGCCATAGACAGTCCAAAACCCCGAAGCACAGAGGAAGAAGCAAAACATGATTTCAATTACCTGATTATACTTTGCTAATCGCTCACTTCGACAAGGGGCTCCAGTCTTGATCTGAAAGAGAAAACTTGGATAATCAACACCAAAGCAACAGCATCATGAAACACTTTAGATTTCAAAAGATTCTGGGTAGGAAACCTGTCCACTAGCCAAACCAACAGAGAGATCAGCTATGAAGTTATCCTCAGTTTCACCACTTCGGTGACTAACCATGACACCCCAACCTGCTGCCTTCGAATCAAGAGCAGCCTCAATGGATTCAGTCACTGAGCCAATCTGATTGACCTGCAGCCAAAAAACATAGAATACAATAAGCAAATTGAAGCATTCAAAGACATGTCTCCATCTAGTTCTGCCACATGGACCTTGCTGTATCAGTTTGGATTATTAGACAGCAGATTAATAAAACTAATCTAAGACCAAGCTGTGGAGAGGATTGGGGTTGAAAATTGTAAAAACAGGCAAGAAACTTCAAGCAAAAACTGTAACACGTGCATATAAAAGCATTTTGGAACCAAAAGAGAAAAATCCTACAGGTATCCTCACCTTCAGAAGCAAACCATTGCATGCCTTCTTCTGGATGGCTTCAGATATTCTCTTTGGATTTGTAACTAATAAATCATCTCCTACAAGTTGAATATCAACTGAAGACAATAATGAAGCCCATGATCCCCAATCATCTTGGTCAAATGGATCCTCGATTGACACAATGGGAAACTCTTTCACGAAGTCCTTGTATAGTTCACAAAGACTCTGGGCAGAATGAACATGAGCTCCATCATTCGGCTGTTTTTTAAAATTCAGATCATACTTGCCATCCTTAGTGTAAAACTCCGAGGCAGCAACATCCATACCAATTTTGATCTGGTATCATTGTATTCATTTCTTAGTTAATCAAGTGAATACTCAAATTATAGAAACAGAATGAAATTAAAGCAACGCCTACCTTGCCAGTATATCCAGCCTTCTCAATGGCATCCATAAGTAAAACCAGTCCCTCCCTGTTATCCTGAACATTGGGAGCAAATCCTCCTTCATCTCCCACATTACAAGCATCTTGCCCATATTTTGCCTTGATTATTCCCTTTAAAACATGATAAACTGTAACCCACGGGATAAATTAGAAGAAATCAATAGTCATAGGTCATGAATTCAAGTAATCATGAAACACGTAACTATACAGTAAAATAGGCCATCAGAATAGAAGTTTGCACCAATATGTGCAGAAAAATAGCATCAAATGCATCCAGTTCAATGCCATAAAGACAAAGCACACATCTAAGAAACGTAGTAGCAGCCATAAAGATCTAGGTTCCTAACCTTCACTACCCATGCGAAGGGCTTCAGCAAATGAAGTTGCACCGACTGGTAGAATCATAAATTCTTGCATAGCAAGGTTGTTTCCAGCATGACTGCCGCCATTTATGACATTAAAAGCTGGGACTGGCATGACAAGTTCCTTAGTTTCAGAAATCTCCTGGATGTGCTTGTACAAGGGAACTCCTTTTGCTCCTGCACCAGCTCTACACACACTCAGCGAAACTCCCAATATTGCATTAGCCCCGAGTTTAGACTTGTTAGGAGTTCCATCCATTTCCAGCATGATAGCATCCACATCAGCTTGATTCCTTGTAGAACATAAACAGAAACGTCAAGCTTTACAGCATATATGCAGATCATACTTGCATCTGCGGTGTATGTCAGCAAGAACCCCCCCCCCCCCACAAAAAAAAAAAAAGACTGAGTCAAAAGATTTATTTATGGATCGGTTGTTCATTTCTACATTAATAAACAGTAAAGTATTACTTTATGGAACAGCCAACCATCGCATTGTAAAATTAGGATAGGTTCTGTCCAGTATCTATGATCACTGGGGCCACCTAAAAAGATTTAGGAAACTTGTTCTAGCTCAAAATTATTCCAACCATCTAATATGGATTCGATTTTATGGATAATGGCGCTTCTGGAGCCTCTCATACACAGCTACGCCACGAAATTAGTCTTCCAAGTTGCAATACATGCAAACAAATAAACAAAACACACATAAAATATTTCCAAGTTCCAGTTATCTAACCGAATCTCTACTCGAACCATTTGATCGACAGATCAATGTCACATGCAACTTATCCAAGCTAACAACATTAATGCAACTTCCCAAACAAGAACAAAAGGAACTGAAATTTATCAAAGAAGTTTCGTCAATGTTCACGGCATCATATCAGAATCCAACTTTACCTAACATCCACACCAAGAAGTTTGGGGCCCAACACTTCATTGATGTTCTTAACGGCATTGAGAACACCTTTACCTCCATAAACACTTTTATCGCCATCCCTGAGCTCCAGAGCCTCATAAATACCAGTGGAGGCGCCACTTGGGACAGCAGATCGGTAAAGCTGGTCAGTGACAAGGTCAACCTCGACGGTGGGGTTCCCTCTGCTGTCAATAATCTGCCTAGCCTTGACAGACTTCACCGTGCTTTGCCTGGATACCTTGACTTCGGAAGACGGCGATGCAACGGTGGCAGAGCTCCGAACGACGACGGTGCTCGATTTGAGAGGCGTGGGAAACGAGAGGGAGGCGGGGGATTGAGACTTGGATAGGGGGGAAGAGGAGATGAAGGGGCTTTTGAGGAGAGATTTGGTGGGTTGTGGAGCTAAAGAGGCCATTTGTTATTTGACTGTGAATCAAATGAAGGGACAGAAAAGGAAGGAGAAAGGCTTGGGCATATAAGAAGGTGGGGAAGCGTGGGAAAGTCCGTCGAGGGGCGACAAAAGCCGGGGGCCTCCTTCTGAATGGCCTTTCGAATAAGAATAAATAACAAAAATGCGGCCTTTTGGAGTGGTGGTTGGAGTTGGCGGCGTTAGGAGGTAGGAGTCCAACAGCTCCGAGAAAGACATGAGCTGGGAATTGGGAGGAACAACAGGGCGCTGGCTGGGTAGGTGGCTGCATGCGCGGCTCGCTTGCGCTTTGTTTTGCATCTAATTATCATCTTTGACTTGAGCTATTAAAAAACTTATTACCAGTCTCTTGGAAAAAATTATTACAACGGGATTTCTTTCCTAAAAACTATGCAATTTTTCATATTATATTGAAAATTGACAGATAAGTGTGGAAGTTAGTTCCCAATTTTTTAGTTAAAAGTTAAATTTAAATTTGCAAATGTTAAAGAGATTATGCACAATTAATTCAAATTTCATGAGAATTTTATATAATAATAATAACCAGAAACATCTCCCGTGAAACATGAAGATGAAGATGTCATATTGTTCAGGATTAATGCAATATTTGTTCCATTAAATTTATTCTTATTTTAGTTTTGATTCCTTAAATTTCAATTCATAGGTTTTGGTTTCTTAAGTTCATTTTGATCTAAAAATTGGTCCTTATAATTTAATAAAAATCTAGATCATTCATTTTACCCATTGAAGAACTAAAACTTCTGATTTGAAACTTAAAAGACTAAAACAAAAATAAAGATAAACTCAAAAAAGCAAAAATTATATTAACTCTTAGTTTGCTTAATCTACTATGCAAGATTATAAATGTAATTAATATTATTCAATGCTTTTTTTTAAGACGACGTGAACTGGATATCAAAGTAGATAGATTATAAACAATTGTACATTATATGATACAAAGGATGACAGGTAAATTGGACTCGTTTAATAGTGATGTTGCGTGCAAATTTTATACTAGTAGCGGGCTGCACGAATAAGGCTACTAAAAATGTATAATTTAGGCAAAAAAGTACTGAAATCCTATTATAAAATGTACCGGTCTCACTTTAAAATGTATCTGTTTTGAATTTGAACTAAACTATATATTTTTAAAAAAAGTTAGTGACAAAAAAGGGGGGCTTTGCCGCCACCTGGCCAGGGGCATTCCTATCACCTGTGATTGTAATTTCGTTCTTCCAAATTCAGCCAAATGCATGGGTCATTCTTTGGAATTTCAAAAATGTATAATGGATAGTATATGATTTTAGTGAATGAATGCGTCGAGAGGATCTGTAATGGGGACTTGTACGACCGCGAACAACTGATTGTCTGAAAGACGACAGAAGATGAAAAAATGTGGAATGTTTAGAGATGCTTGGTTTTCGCATGAATTGAATTGAATGCGTATTGCAGTTTAACAAAACAAGACTGAGTCTTACAAAAAATGACATCCACATATAGGAATCCCCTCACAGAGACATCTTAAACATGCTACTAAATTTAGTGTTCATCGTTACATAACTCCATTCCCATCACCCTTCCGCTGGCTCTGCCAGTACCTGCCTCATCACTGATCCCTTCCATATTATTAATTAAATAAATTAACACACACCCAAACGCCTCCTGACTAATACAGTGTATATATGTTGTTGTTTAATTAATTTGGTTAGGAGATTGAGATCCTGAGTTTTGGTTTCGAGTTAATTCCTCATGGAGGAAGAAAACCATCCTCATAACTCCTGCGCAAATATCACGGACGTGCGTGTGCCCATCAAGTAACGGTCATTCCACAAAAACTGCCAATTCCAAATTATAATTTCCCTCCCAACTCTCCTTATCAAACTGACAGTTACGATTCCCCACTCCCACACCCTTCGTTCTCTCTTCCCGTTCTCCCCAGTTCCCTCCCTCGCCCCGCCATGTTTCGCGTCAGCAACACCCTCCTCGGCGTCGTCAACTCACTCACTCTCCTCCTCGGTCTCGTCGCCCTCGGCTTCTCCCTCTTCATCCACGTCCGTGGCGCCGAAGCCTCCGATTGCCAGAAGATTCTGCAATTGCCGCTGTTGTTCGGCGGCATTTTCATCGCGGTCGTCTCCTTGCTGGGCATCGCGGGTTCTTTCTGCGGCCTCAATCTCCTTCTGTACGTCTACTTGTTCGTGACGTTCCTCCTGATTATAGGGCTCATCTTGTTCACCGTCTTCGTGCTGTTGATAACCAACCAGAAGGTGGGACAGACGGTGTCGGGAAAAGGCTATAGGGAGTATAAGACGTGGGATTTCCACAACTATTTGCAGCGGTATGTGCTGAACGACAAGAATTGGGCTGAGATCAAGAGTTGCTTGATGGACACCCACGTGTGCAGTAATCTCGCCGTGGACGGCAACTCCCTCCTCTACAAACAACTCACGACGACGCAGGTTATATACTTTTTGCTGTTAATGACTTGTGTGAATCAATAATCAATAAATATATCTATATATGTGAGTGTACATAAATAAAAAGAACAAAGAAACCGAGATTATTGAATTGGGCAAGGGAACTGATTAAAGCACGGTAAAAATGCACGGATGTGTGTTGCAGACGGGGTGCTGTAAGCCGCCGGCGGCGTGCGGGTTCACGATGATAAACGCAACGTACTGGGAGGCGCCGAAGACGGGGGCGGGAGGGAACGACACGGACTGTAAGACGTGGAGCAACGAAGAAGACAGGCTGTGCTACGAGTGCAATTCATGCAAAGGAGGAGTGTTGGCCAACATAAGGAAGCAATGGAGACGAGTAGCCATAATCAACACGTGCGTGCTGCTGCTGCTCATCGTCATCTACTTCTTGGGCTGCTGCGCCATCACCAACAATCGCTCCGATAGGCATCGCTCCTCCAAGTACCTCTCAAGATCCCCCAACGCCGCCTGACGCCTCTCGTCTATGCTCTTTAATTTGCCCTTTTCTTGTTCTTACTATATGCATACATATACGTATCTTCTTAGGTGCAGCTAGCTAGAAGTTAAGTGTCAATCTTTAGGACTAATTATATCTGTGTTGTGTTTTCACTTTTCATTTCATACATGGGACTCGTTTCAGTTGTTTCGAATTCACATAACATGCCCTGACTCCTGTGTTCTTGTAGTGCACATATCTCACCAAATAATACGGATCTCTGTTATACATGTACACATTGATATTGATGTGGCGTGACTGGAGACATGTCAACAGATATTATTTATATATATATATATATTAATTACACTACAAAAAGTTATTATATTTAGGACTTGAAGAGTATATACACACACATGTAACTATAAACAAATTCAAATTGTGAATACGCGCGCGGTTCCTTGTCAAAACATAATAGTTTGATATGAATGCATGGCTGCATAAATTGCTATATTTAATTAAATATCAATGCGTGTTTCTTTCCATGCACATGAACTCTTAAAACTGCTTCATGTAAAAAGAGGAAGGATTGTCGTTCGTATCGCATGTGCTCTCACTGATCTGTTGACTATACGCAGTTTCACTCTTCATTAAATAAAAACGAAATATTTTATCCCTGGTGTATATACCTTTTTTTTTCCAAATATGCACACGAATAAGTTGTTTCTATTTTCATATAAACTAGTTGTTATTTAGAGTTTCTGATCACTAAAGACGTATTAGGAATTGGAAGGACAAAAAAATACATTTTTATTTTCGTTGCTATAGTTATTTATACTGGAAGATAAAAAGACAGTCATTTTTCATTGTTACAGTTATTTATTTGCAATTATTTACACAACTTTATCTCTAGCTTTTTACACGCTATCACCCTTTATAAAATTATCAAGTTCATATCTACTCAAATAAGTATTTAATTTTCATTGTTTTTTAATACATTGGCAGATTCATTTATACTTACTGCTATTAATTTTTAATGTATCCGTACACTGCACCAGGATGGTGAGAAGAAGTAACAATTTCATACACACGCCTACGTCAATATCTCATTTCACAATTTCTGAATTTTAATTCTCTTAAAAAGTTATAAATCTGTATGTCGTCTCTGAAATAAGAGAGACACAGAAATGAACAGAAAATAATGTCGGAAAACATTTCCTGTAATGTAATGGCAACTGAAAAATCCACGACAACCATTGTCTAGTCAAGTGACACTAATAGCAAGCACTTGCCAGCATAGCAAAACTAAACTCATTTCTCTGTCATAAGGAACACGGCAGAAACTCGCATGAGTTTAATCAAAGCTGGGAGTTCATCAGAGAAAAACGAACGGCTCGTTGTGGCCGCCACTTCACTTGAGAAAAGTACAAGCAAGGAACAAGAAGAGATAAGCCACCAGTGACGTTAAAAGCTCAAGCGTCCAGGTTGGGGGAAGCAACGTTGATGGGATATTTGGTACCGCCACTGAACCACTGACCCAGCCAGCTACTAGAGCTCCGAATCTACATTTGAACAAAAATTAGACACTAAAAAAAAAAAAAAAAAAACAAACAAACAAACAAGCACAAGGAGAATCTTAGCTTGTTGCAAAGCTGTTCTGTTCTCTTCCAACTCACCCAATTATACATGCTCTGCCCAAGCTCTTTGTTTTTTCGTTAAGAAAATATATGCATGCTGCCAAAGAGATTGCCACCTGCAGCAACAGATTGATTTAGTTATAAGCACATGCATATAGTGAACTGCCAATTCTTCCAGGGCCAGGCGAGGGGAAAGGGAGCTTAAATGACTGCGATTTTGATAACACCAGCTGATGTGATTATAGTCCTCAGATAAAGTAATTTGTTCTTTTTTTTTTTTTTTTTTTGGGGGGGGGGACCTATCTATTACTCCGTTTCTCTCTCACACAAACGCGCACAAAATTCTATAGTTCTGCAATTTTTTATCAGACAGTGACATGTTTCTGCTCTGTTTTTCAAGGAAAAAGAAATGGCGTTATTTGAGAATATTATGCATGGATTATAAATCATAAACAAATACATATATAGTATATGAATTAAAACAAACCTGAAATGCAGGTCCACTCTCGGCAGAGTTCATAATACTCCAGCCACCCATGAAGGCAAAGAGGAACAATCTTCTCAGGATAACATCGGTTGGGGGAAGTTCAACATAGTTGAGCAAGTTCTGAACCCAAGGTGGAGACTCCTCTACTTTCTTTTTCAACCTGCTTTTCAGATTGATTTTTGTTTTCTTCCTTTGTTTGAAGCTAGCCATCAGTATTTTTTCAAATGCAGCTTCTATGGATTCTTCACTTCTCTCATGTCCAGCATATTGTTGCAATAAAAAATTTCTTGATCCCCAAATTTCTTCTTCAGAAGCATCACGGCTAATACCAAGGCGCCTGTAAGGATCCCAAACACTGGTTCGAGGAAACTTCTGGACATTACCTGTAATGAGGGGAATATATATATAGATGCATGTATGCATCATGATTTTAATCCAATAGGAAGAAAAACAGACAAATATAGATAAGTATCAAACTAGTAAAATTTAAGTGCCTAAATGAATTTCAATATAATTATATCCAACTGACTCTTCGGCTATCAGGCAACATTCAAAGGTTCAAAAATTAATAGAATCTACTTTTGCAATACATTCAACAAGCTAAACCAGAAAGGCTCACACCTAACTGCCTAACAAGCCAAGAATCAATGGAAGCAGGTGCATATTTTCACCCTTGATTCTTGCTAGCCGCAGAAAATCATTTACTCACCACTAGTGGAAGAAAGGTCAATGCATTAAACTCATCTGAAAGAGTAGGGAATTAAAAGATGCAGGACAAGAAGACTAGAAATTCACTCTACTTTCTAATATCCCTTCAATAACAGTAAAAATAAGCAAAGAAAACATAAATAGTAACTGTATCGAAGCTGACAAAGTAAGAATTGATATTAGGAGAATGCAACCGGGATATGTTTAAATAAGCACATATATTAGACAAACTGTCACTAACTTCTAATCTACAGATTAACCAATTCTTCATTAAATTCATGACTACGAATACCTAGTTACACCTACATGTAAATATTCATCCTGCTTAAACACTAATTCAAATGCACACATTTCTCCAATTTGAAATTCAAAATGCCGCCCCACCCCGAGAGAAAGGGGACTCAAGCACCATAAAAGGCCACATACCTCGAATTGACACACAAATCAATGCTTTGCTTTTAAACCACCTAAAACAGGTGTTACCCAATCAACAAACATCCTACTTAAATACTCAGAAATACTTTCTTGTTTTAATTAGAGAAAGACATCTTTCTTATGTTACTCCAAACCCAACCTTGGATGGCAGAACTAATATGTTTTTAATCTTAAATTAGAAGGGAGTACCTCCATATGGTGTATCCACGGCACATCTAATACATGAAGCATTGCTAAATCTTGTCAGCTTCCTTGCATTGTCTCGGAAAGGCCTGAAGCAGTCAAAGAAAATAAATATTAGAAAAGCAATTTATTTATCTCTGGAAAGGCAAGTGGTTGATAAATCACAAGAAAACATCACAAGTATTCTTATTTGTCCATCCATATAACCATACCACACAATAAAACCAGCATCCCAATTTGAAATTTTTTGCGCATATATAGCCCAAGAAAATTCAGATTAAAAAAAAAAAAAAAGCGTACACAAACACAAGCCAGGCCTGGCAAGCCGGAAAATGATAATCACACAGGTGTATATGTAGTCATATTACACACACACACACAGAGAGAGAGAAGGGGGGGTGGATGTACAGTTGCCGGCCTAGGAGAGAGGTGGTGAAATTGGGACTGGAGAGTGACAGAGCAACCATATTGACAGACGATAAGAAAACCCTAATTCAATAGTTTTGAAGAATCCATAGAAACTTGGAAAAGGCAGTAGAGAACAGAAGCTCCGGCCCGCTGTTGGGTGTGGATTGCGGGAGCGGAAGAGGAGAAAGAGGAAGAACCAGACGATAAAAGAGTTGTGTTTCCTAGCGAGACCGACTTCCGGTGCACAATGCGCACCCCCTTTTCTAAGCTTGGGCATTTTCGGGAAATTACCAGTAGAGAAAGGAAATCTGTTCAGTATTCATGACCTATTAAAAAGTGTTTGAATAGAAATAAAATCATATTTTTATGATATATAAAATAAATATATAAAAAAATTTATCTCGATTTATTAAAAAATATTTTTGAGAAGTGTTTTTAAGGTTACCCAAACACCCCTTGAATATTTATCAAGTGGAAGAGACTAACATGTAAATTGAGATTTGAATTTCTATTGAAAGATATGTCTTTATATTTGATAGTATTTCCAATAGGAGGTATCATGTACCTATTAAAAAAAAGTATTAAATATTTTATTGTAATGAGCATTTAAAAAATAAATAACACTAATTCTTATAAATAACATCACTTCTGTTTATCAAAAGAAAAATATAACATGACTTTTTAATTTTAAATTTCATTTTACCACTGTAAATTAACTTCAGATATTTTTTTTTTTAACAAATACCAAGGATGATAATATACATTGATATTAATATTATGATTTGAACCTGCTAATTATACCCAAATTATTTGGTCTTCAGAAGTTCACATGTCAAGCTCTCTGTTTGGGGGGAAAAAATAGCCAACAACTTAACATTCTCTTTTATTAGCTAATTGTCTCTACTTTTAAATTTATTTCTTTTCAAGTGGTGATCTATATTATTCAAATATGATGAGGAGTTAAATTTTGTATATGAGAAAAAAGTATAATACGGAACAAAAAAAAAAAAAGAACCTTGAGTCGTGATGCTAATTAAGATAGAAAATTGGAAGAAAAATAAAGATTGAAAATTCATATTCAATTCTTTTAAAAAAATATTTTTTAAATGCACTGCACATGACTTTGGAAGTGTATGGATAAAAACCAAACCATAGTTTTAAAAGTATTTTTACAATATACAAGGTAAACATGTAAAGGAGTTTACCTTATTTTACGAAAAGTACTTTTCAGTGCTTCTAAACACCCCATTAATATTTTCATATGACGCATCTTTTTTATCTAGTGATTCATATTACACATCTCTAACTCCTAGTAGTTTGACAAGATGATGCGTCCTCAAAAAATTAGAGTAACAAATCAAAATTTCTGAATATAGCAGGGAAAAAAAAAGGAAGAAAATTAAGACCTCTAATTCAGTGTATCTGAAATATTTCGTATTATTTACGGACAAACATCACGTAAAAAGGCCAGACTATTAAATGGATATTTAGAGACACTTGTACGTGTTTGTTTGTCATGATAACAAGACCCCACCAATCTACAACATTTCTTCTCCTTGATCATACAATAGAAAAACGTATTCATATTTTATTTTAAATACTATAATCAATTATTAATCATACATGGCCATGCCCAGCAACAGGAGGGGGCCTTTTCAAGCGGTACAAGATTTGTTTTACATCCAGGAATGGTTCTGGAGGAACATCTTCATGACTTCATTAAAGCTTCGGACTGTGGCTAGGCTCAGCAAACTGCTTCCGCAAAACCCTTCTCATGACCTTATTTGATGCTGTCCGAGGAAGGGATGACACAGACTCGATTCGAGAAACCTGCACAAATGAACAAAGTAAACTAGAGAGTAGATAATAGAAAAGACAGACACTTGGTGATTCTGAGAATTAATACTATCTTCGATCTTTAATATAAAAGTTAGTTTGATTTTCAATTTGATTCTAAATGCAAGATGCTAATTCACTTCTTTTTTTTTCATATTTATCCATTTTTTACTAAGTAATTCTTGTAATAGTTGCTCATGTTAAATGTTTAATTAAATAGTAGTTCTAACTAATATATATAATTAGTAAAGATATTTTAAGAAAGACAATATCTAATTATTACAGATAATTAACTTAACAAATTCCTTAATCTACTCAAATTAGTCAACTAGTTGTTATATAATGGACTGGAGGTAGTACCTTGAACAATGGATTTAGTGTCTTTTGGAGAGCAGAGTTGAAAGACAATCTTAGTTGATGTAGGTCTGGTGATGGATTGTTCGAATTCTTAAAGACAACGGCTATAACCAACTGCTCAGGTCCGCCTCCTGCAGGCGGCACTCCGATGGCAGCTGTTTCCAGGATGTTGCTATCAACTCCATTGCATATGCGTTCGATCTCAACCGAACTCACCTGCCCAAACAGGAATGAGCTCATGAACACACCGAGGTCCGCAAAATGTTGATACTAACATCTACATCATGTAAAACTCAGCACGATACAGACCCTACAAAATGACTAGGTTTCGTGCTGTGTCTCGTTGACCATGATATAGCCCCAACTTTTTAAATAATAACAATTCAAAAGAATTTAAACTCGGACTAGACCTATAACCTAGTAATTGATCTCAAGAGAGGCCCTGTGCGAAGCATGATTAAAAACACAAATAGAAATCATATGCATAAAAAATAAGAAATTTCATTCCCTAAAAAAAAAAAAAAAATCCCCAGAACTCCCACGCTGCACACTTTTGTCTATGTTTATTCAACAAAACAAAACGAGATAGGTTTGAGATTCTTAATGATAAGTTGGGGGTGATATGCTACCTCAAGTAAAAGCGATGACAATGAAAAAGGAATTGGAGACAAGAACAGACCAACAAACAACACATTATTTATCAATAAATTCAATGCGCTAAACTTGGGAATGTAAATTCCGTCAGATTGTAAATTGTTTCGTGTTCTTATGTTCCAAATTCTGGGCTACAAAACCTATCATGCTATAAAATAACTATAATATACAGTCATGATGCATTTTATGATAATATAGATTCATATCATAATTGAGCTTTCGTGATTTGGCCCCTTGCGGCTTTATACAACTTGTAGACTATCATACGTTTTAGACAATAAAATGAAGGACAACATATAAACTCATATACTCTATCAAAAACCCTGGACCACATGGGAATATGTTATGATACCATCGGCAAATACCCATATAACAGAAAGAAGAATGGCCTTCTTAATGAATTTGTGCTGGTTTGAGACGTGCCTTATTTCAAATAACTGCTTCACTCATGCATGAATAAGGGCTAAAAGCTCACCTTGATTCCCCCAAGGTTCATTGTGTCATCTGCACGACCATGAGCACGATAGTATCCTCTAGAAGTAAGCTCAAATACATCCCCATGCCTTCGCAAAACCTGAGCCAAGAATGCAAAGAATCAAGATCTGCAGACACCCGAATAACACAAGCTAGAGGAGAAAAATATGCCTACCCTTCCATTCCATGAAGGCATGCCCTTAAAGTACACATTATAATGGTCAGCATTCAGTAGTGTACTAGAAGATCCAAACATGAGGGGTCCAAGAGCCAATTCACCCATTCCTGGAACATTTTGAGGCTGAAGTAGAAGAAATAAGTTTGCAGTATTTAACCAAGTCATTAGTTTGTTCAAGGAAAGAACTATAATAAATTGGTAATTCGCATTTGAATGTAGTGCTTGTGACAAAACTCCTGAAACATACTCAAACCTAAGACAGACAAAAGAAAAGATTTCCCTTTGTGGTACACGTATAAATACATAGTTACAAGAAAAGGTTCATCAAGACCACAGAAACAAAAGTCAGATTCATGCACTATGCATACCATAAAAAAGTAAAAGACCGCTCGTTATTAGGAACCACAAGAATTCAGGAAATTTGTAGCTCATTTGCATATTATGCGATCCGGTTAAGGTTTTGAAACCAAGATCAATCACGAAACTCAAGAGGAAAGCAGGTCATATTCATTGATCCAACAAGGGAATATATGAAAATCTATGAGAATTAATTAACATAACTATAATATAAAATCCACATAAAACCACATTATTCATAAACTATGAATAATGGGGCTCATCTCGTGTGTAAAGTATGGGCCCACAATATGATTAATAAATATTTATACGAGCAAAAACTTAAATTGTAATATAAGCATTAGAAATATAGAGATAAGTATTTTTAGTAATGGTATGTTAATTCATAGATGCATAAATTTTATGATATTAAATTTTTGAAAAATGAATATGACTGGTATGAGATCATTTTGAAAAGCTTGAAGATCTATTCAATGTTCCATTTATTCAAAATATTCATTTTTTTCCCATTTTCTTTTAATGAAATTTATTTTTTTTCCCCTTTTCTATTAGTACAACAAATATATTGGCATGACTTTCTGTCACAAAAGGCAACATGGCCTAATGGCTAGAAACTTGATCCTAAAATGCGCTACAGATGTTATCTGATCCGGCCACCAATGGTTAAAAGGTGAGAGCCAAGCTGAACCTTAAACCAAGTCCTGGTTCAACTGGTCAAATCAGAACAGTCCAGTACTCTGAAAAACGGTTCAAGTGTGGAAATAAAGTGCATCTTATTGAGCCACCAAAAAAATAAAATAAAAACAATGAAATTTCTTCCATCCAAAATTTTAATGGTGCTTACGATGGGATAGCCATCATCGCCAAGAATAAACAAAGTGCAGCCCATCACAGGTGTGCTGAAAGCAGCCAATGATTGAGCCTGCAGTAATGATCCAGAAACAAAGCTGCCACCAATCTCTGTACCACCACAATATTCAATCACCGGTTTGTAGTGAGCCCTCCCCATCAACCAAAGGTATTCATCCACATTAGATGCTTCTCCGGTGGAGCCAAAGCAACTACATGCACAAAGAAATTTGACTTTTTTATACATTTACATGTGGTTCTTTGCTGCACAATAGTGATAATTACTAGCAAGCCTCACCGGATGGAAGACCAATCATAGCCAGCCGTGGAATTTGTACTTTTCCAAGTCCTTACAAGACTTGGAATCACACCAAGCATTGTTACTTTAGCATCCTTAAACACAGTACAAAATAATTCAGCTAGAAGGAAAATATCAATGTGCAAAACTTTAAGAAACAGGATATCCGGGATCAAGAATACCTATATTAATTTTAAACATTCCAATTTTCTTT